TATCGTCGTAACCACAGGTTTCCAAACTACTCTGAACTAGTTGGTCAATGATTGGAATCTCGGACCCATAACCACTTTTTATATAGCAAACAAAATGTTCAATTTTCTCGGTACAGAAGAGTCACATGGGTTTGACATGGAACACATCAGATTTCATGAGTCATATAGGTTGTTACTTGTTACTATTGCGGATTGAAGATTGGATATGTTTATATTATATATATATACACGGTAACTACATTTAAATATACAGATTTTCAAACACACACATATATATATATATATACATATGTTCCACCTGCTACCGTAGCTCTATATATATACTGTATAACTATAATTATATTATACATATATTATACTAATATATATATATATAGATACTGAATATAATTATATAAATATTATTATATACTAATATATATATATATATGTATACCTACATACTGTATCTTAAATATATATATATATTACAAATTCAAGCCACAATATTCTTTTCACATTCTCACGGCCCATCAATTTGGACGGGGAGCCATCTTCTGCCCCCGCGTGGCGAGTTGATTCCTGAGCGTCATCCAGCACCAAGGAGCATAGCAACGAACTTCCCGGTGATGAAACATGGTTCTGGGTCAAAACCCTGGTACCCTATTACCCGAAGTCATAGCTGGTTAATGGACGGTTATTCCCCCATTCATATGGTAATTTCATAGGCTTTGACCCATTCTCACATGGCAATGGAAACTCCATCAGTTATAAGTGGTTTTCCACTTTAAAACGTTCAAAGGTCCATGTCTGATGGGGACTTTCAATTGCCATGTTTGCTGACACCAGAGGAACCAGTGCCAACAAGGTGGTGCCTCAGTTACCCGAAGCCCTAGGCCGTAGGCGACCAATTTTTTCAATGGTTTCAATTCCATTTATGGCAAACAATCGGGTTGATTACCCTCCTGTAAACGTTTACATAGATGCCTTAAAAAAAACTATTTGTAGATCATTGTCCTATAGTGAAGCTGCGAAACCACAGGATTTCCACATCTACCTTAGTTTAACCGTTTAACCCGTTTGGCTAATTATTGGCTTTACCAACCACATTATTGGCTGAAGCATGGGTGGCTCAAAGGGCTATGACCAGACAGCCACGTCGAAACACTCGCCGTCAAGTCATTGAACCGCCGAATTTTGAAGCACACAATCTGAAAAATATCACTGCGAGCAACGTGTTACATTTGACTGTATCTATATCTATACGGTCTATACTATCTATAAATAGATCATATATATATATATATGTATAATATGCATATATCATATATATATATAATATGTCTGTATTCGGCCGAATAGCCTTTGGGTGGCTACATGTGTATTGTGCATGTGTATATTATCAAAGGAAGTTGGGAAGCAGGCAAAGAGAGCGTAGCCTGATCTGACCCCGGCTGGATAATCACCTATGCCGTAAGAACATGTAAGAACACCAAACAGTGTGGACACACTGTTTGGGGAATGGAGCAGTGTTCGAAATCCCTCTATCATTCCATTATGCTGGTTGGTTAATAGGGAGTCCCCTATTGGATTATTGTAATCCCCAATCCCCAAAATATTAGGTAGTCCAATCCTCTATAATCATCAACCAACCAGGGTTTTGAACACTGCTCAATCAAATATTCTGTCTTACCACCTTTTCCTCACTCCTGGTCTCCTGCTGACCATTTTTCAAGGTTGGCGGCGCCCCTGTCGCTCGCGTCCTTGCCCCATCGCGCCGCATGCAAAATCAGCGCTGTTGAGCTTCTCTGGTGGCAGATGTTCCAGATGAACCAAGAATATGGGCTTGGAAATGCTTGGAATTCTAAGACTGGTGCTTGGACATATAATGAACACATACTATCTTGTGCTTGGAATGCTTGGAAATGCTTGAGATACTATACAACACTATATATCTTGTGCAGTGAACATATGTGGAAATGGACATGGGTACAATGCGAGTGTTCTGGGTCAACCGGGATTGCCTTCCTGAATATGGATGACACATGGAGAGAAAAACGATAATTATGCATTTCAGTGTATGAAAGTATAGCATAGAGGATAATTTATGTGCAAAAACCATCCGATAATCAAACATGGCTGGAAAAGCCCCTATAACGGCCATGACACCAGAGGATGGCGGTACTCAACAGATCGCCACGGCATGCGGAAGCGACTGTTGGAGGATCACTTGAGGTAAGTTGTCACCCATTCCATGTATATATTAACATATATGCCTATGCATCTATGAATCTATGAAGTAACCCCCAAAAAAGATGGAAAATTGCAAACTTATACTAAAATATATGATTATGTATGTATATTATTGTATGATATTGGATGTATATTATATATATATATATAGTCGAGAGAGAGAGAGAAAAAAAAAGAGAGAGATACTATGAGATACTTATAGATGCTTCAAAAGCATGGTTACGAACCACTTTCTAAGTGGGATAATCCTTGAAGTGGATCCAAAAGTAATAAAACTTCTACGAGATTGTTGTGATTCTGCAGTGCCCTTCTCACACAAGTCATCCTTGAGAGCCCAAGTAAGAACCGCAAAAAAAAAAACAAGTCGGCTATCAAGCCATCGTCTCATCTGCAGCAACACCCACAAACTTGTCATCTTCGACTTTTGCCAAGAACAATGAGGCCGTTGAAGACTAATCACCAACAGCCCACATCAGAGCGGGTGTCTCTCTGCAAAAAAAAACCTCATCAAGCAGAAGTCAGATTTCCCGCCAAGCCGCCACCCAAAACCCCACAGTGGGTGAGCGGAACAAGCAGGACTCAGTACACCGGTGAAATCTAACATAGCGTTTTTTAGCCCTGGCACCAACTCACAAACATAGCATCTGGCTACGTTGTCAACCCTGGGGATTTGGAGAAAGTGATCATTTGGGTGATTTCTGCCAACACCTGCTAACATAGCCTCTGTTTCCGTCCTCCCAATGTTTGGCATTCCCCAGGAAGTGGGTAAAAGAAATGTACCAGAATAAGCTAACATAGCTGTCTGGAGACTTGTCACAGCTTGGAACCACCAAATGGAAAGTGCTATGTTAGCATCAAACTCCACGGAAAACATGTTTTAGAAAATGGGAAACCGAACGCATCAATCAATCAATCCAGAATGAAAGTACCCCTGGTTGCTATGTTAGGTTGTCTCTTTTGAGTCTCCAGCCGACCAGATCAAACCAAAACTGTTTTTGGATGCCTTTCTGGGGCTCACCCTTACTGGACCCAAAAAAGCTTCAAAACCAACAATTTTACATAATAGATTGAATAAGAAAAAACTCCTGGTCAAAGTTGCCAATCTGGCTACTTGCTGCCATGATGATTATGATGTACTATTGGAGGTTTTGGGAACCATGGGCAAATGCTATGTTAGTAGTCCTGTTGCCAAAACTTTTGGTTTTGGATTGAAAATCATGACTGGCACAACAGTTTTTGGATTGAAAAAAACTCCTGGTCGTTTTATAAAATTGTTGATTTTGAAGCTTTTTTGGGCCCAGTAAGAGTGAGCCCCAGGAAGACATCCAAGAACACTTGTGCCAGTCATGATTTTCAATCCAAAACCAAAGCTTTGGCAACAGGACTACTAACATAGCATTTGCGCAGGGTTCCCAAACCTCCAATAGTACATCATAGTCATCATGGCAGCAAGTAGCCAGATTGGCAACATCGACCAGGAGTTTTTTCCCTTATTCAATCGATTATATAAAATTGTTGATTTTGAAGCTTTTTTGGGCCCAGTAAGAGTGAGCCCCAGGAAGACATCCAAGAACACTTGTGCCAGTGATGATTTTCAATCCAAAACCAAAGCTTTGGCAACAGGACTACTAACATAGCATTCGCGCAGGGTTCCCAAAACCTCCAATAGTACATCACAATCATCATAGCAGCAAGTAGCCAGATTGGCAACATCGACCAGAAGTTTTTTCCCTTATTCAATCTATTATATAAAATTGTTGATTTTGAAGCTTTTTTGGGCCCAGTAAGGGTGAGCCCCAGGAAGACATTCAAAAACAGTTGTGTGCCAGTCATGATTTTCAATCCAAAACCAAAGCTTTGGCAACAGGACTGCTAACATAGCATTTGCGCAGGGTTCCCAAACCTCCAATAGTACATCACAATCATCATAGCAGCAAGTAGCCAGATTGGCAACATCGACCAGGAGTTTTTTCCCTTATTCAATCGATTATATAAAATTGTTGATTTTGAAGCTTTTTTGGGCCCAGTAAGAGTGAGCCCCAGGAAGACATCCAAGAACACTTGTGCCAGTGATGATTTTCAATCCAAAACCAAAGCTTTGGCAACAGGACTACTAACATAGCATTCGCGCAGGGTTCCCAAACCTCCAATAGTACATCACAATCATCATAGCAGCAAGCAGCCAGATTGGCAACATCGACCAGGAGTTTTTTCCCTTATTCAATCTATTATATAAAATTGTTGATTTTGAAGCTCTTTTGGGCCCAGTAAGAGTGAGCCCCAGGAAGACATCCAAGAACACTTGTGCCAGTCATGATTTTCAATCCAAAACCAAAATTTTGGTTTTGGGAACCCTGCGCGAATGCTTTGTTAGTAGTCTCCTTGGTCTCACAACCTTTCCGCCAACGGAAAAAACTCCTGGTCGATGTTGCCAATCTGGCTACTTGCTGCCATGATGATTATGATGTACTATTGGAGGTTTTGGGAACCCTGCGCGAATGCTATAGTAATCCTGTTGCCAGAACTTTGGTTTGGATTGAAAATCATGACTGGCACAACTGGTTTTGGATGTCTTCCTGGGGCTCACCCTTACTGGACCCAAAAAAGCTTCAAAATCAAAAATTTTAAGGAAAAAACTGCCCTGCGCACACAGACGAACGCTAACACAGCATTTCCCGCTTGAGCTTACTTGATGCTTCACACGCGCCAAGTTAGCACCAAAATGTCCATGTCACACCATGTGTTCCCAACGCCAAGTTAGTTGAATCTCAGCCCCAAAACACAAACACTAACATAGCAAAAAAAATAAAAAAAATAAAAATACTTTCAACAGGTAAGATTTCACGAGAGTACTCATTGCTATCGTCATACTTTAACTTCTCCTGGAAGGAATATGTTACCTACGCGATCGGAATCGCGCCCGAGTCAAGACGACGCTGCTTGTGCTTCTGAATCTCCGGAAGCGAGCTCCTGAGCAGCGAAAAAGGTGACGACTCGAAAGGATGGACGAACACTGAAGCAGTCAGAACTGCAAGGTTTGCTGTCAAATTTGGGGATATGTTGGAGGTACATCGCTTATAACCAGCGATGCAATATGGCAATTCTGGCAATACTAAGGCGCAAAGTTTGCAAGGTTTGGCATCATTGCCATGACTGGGTGAGGAAACCATGGCAGTTAATCACCAGGAACCATGGGGATATTGACCAAGGGTTGGTCCCTAACTGGGGTATCTCAAAATTGCAGATATTGCAGCTAAAAACAGCACTGGAAAATGATGATAGAAGCTAATACACATCGATAAGCCACGAGATTTTGGGAGCTGAGGCTGTGGCCCTGGAGAATCATGATAGTTACCCTAAAATTTGCACTACAAATGGGGGGGGTGTCCCACATCCCACATCCATGTTAGTTTGCAGGAGGCTACTCTATAAGATATCCCCAGTTCAGCTCACTGTCCATCGCCGAGTACTGAATTTCCCCTTGCGGCTATCAACTACCTATATATATATATATAATTGGTTTATAGCAATCCTGAAAATATGATCAATGTCTGATGCTCAGCCAGGCTCACATCTATTCCAGCTCGGGGTAATTCAATCGGTAAAATCACGCATTTCTCCCGCACCACGCCACCTTTTCATGGTTGATATGGTTGTTACAAGACTGGTGTTCTGCCGCACTTTGCCAACCCTGTGGGGTGGTTTTGTCCAGAGATGGCGTCTACCAAATGTGGGGAGTCCCATCCCAGCTATGGTTTCCCAAGATTAGGCACTGGATCTAACCACAACAGACTGAATCGAAAAAATACGATATACTCACCTTTTAAGTGGGCTATTCAGTTTTTGAAAATCCTCACAGAGATTGTGTTTGTAAAACTGTGTCGTTTGTATTGGTTGGCCATGTCTTCTAAGCACTTCACAAGTGGGATATTCGAGTCTCTGTCCAGAAATTTATGTGATGATTTCCTTGATGAAACAGATAGAGTGGCCATGGATCCAAAGTAAGGAACCCATTGTCCTGCAAGATCTGAATTCTTTGGCCATTAACATCCATCAACATATCCATATATCCATTGGTATTGATTGCTTGTCGATAAGTTTTCCAGTGTTCATGCCTCATAGATGTGTCCCTTTCTTGTTGGCTGACCCATCAGGCCAACGAACAGATTTGCAAGAATGGCTGCAAACAAATAGCTACAATGTGAGGCCACCAAGATTTAAGTTGGTTTATAAGCCCCAGTAACTATAGTAGTTATATAAATACCATAAACCATAGTTCTTGGAGTTATAAACCAACTTAGCTATCTTGGGGGCCTCACATTGTAAGTACGTTTGTAAACACCCTGGTGCACATTGGAAATCTCAGTGCTTGGTGCTTGGTTGATCTGGTTCATATGGACAAACTCCAGTCATCCAAGATCATCCGAGACGATCATCCGCAATGGAACACCGAAAAACGTCGAGGTTTTCAGATATTTTTGTGTGTCTTGAAACACCCCAAGATTGCCACTTGATATAATTGGAAAAATAACTCACGATAAACAATCATTTTTTGGTGTACTCAAAGCTATTTTTGAGACAAATCCATCTTTTGTTTGCTGCCTCAAACCTCAGATTTCTTAGTCGAACTTTCCAAGGGTCCGCACTGCAGATCGAACTTGCTCCTCCAGGGAGCGATTTTTTCAGGGGCCTCCACCATCCATGTACAGTATATTCACGGTCACGTACACGAAGAATGCTTTTTTGTGGGAGGAAAAATGATGTAGTACCCTCTGGTAAACTAGCGTAGCTATTGAAAATGGCCCATTTATAGTTGATTTACCCATTAAAGATGGTGATTTTCCATATTCATGTTAGTTTACCAAAGGGTAGTGGTATACCATAGCTGGATGGTGAGGTTGCCGACATCTCCATTTCCCACTGTTCCGAGCTAAATGCTCCGTTTCAGACCCATGGCCCAATGGCTAATGAATTGTTAATACACCCAAATACACCCAAATGGGTACTGGTTAATACATGCCTAATGGATGGTTAATACACCCAGCATTATTCTTAATACACCCAGCAATGGTTAATACATCCATCATGTTATCCCAAATATATGCTATCCCACAATGATTCCTGGTTTAAAAAATGGAAGTACGTCCATTCTCATGTCAATCCCACGGGATCATCATCATTTTCCACATCAAAAAACCCGTGGCCATATCTTGGGTAGATATCCCATGAAACCAGACACACCCAAATAGCAATCATCATCATCCACCGGTGCAATCCCTATGTTTGATGGTTAAATCTCTACTATTTTGATTCCCAGGGCCTAAGTGGCCCTGAATCATATCTGAATCAGATCGATGCTGTCCACGCGGGACTCCTCAAGGCTCTGGAAGTCGCCCATGTTGCGGAAACGGCACCAGAAGTGGTGCTGGTTCCACTTCTTTCCAGGCAACACCACCGAGCCCACACCTGCAATTTTTAGGCCATAAGTTGTGGCTTGTGACCAAAGATCCCCAAATGCTCACCCCCTTTGGTAGTGGAAGCCCTAAGGAATCATAAGGATACAAATGAGTAGAACTACAGTACTCTACTCTATTTACACCGGGATACACATTGAACTGGTGTAACTGGTAGGTGCCCAATATCCTTGCTTGTCCTACGCTGGTGAGGAACCACAAAGATGTGAACAAGGGGGAGAAAACAGAAAAAAACTGTATCAAAGCATGTTTTGTGATACCAAATTTGTATTTTTGGTATCATGTTGTTGGGTTGGATACCTACAATCTTTAAAATGATAGTCTCCCTAGGTGGACAGAAACAACGGTGAATGAAATCCAGGTTTGAATGCCAAGAATTGTCAGCAACAATCCAAGAATGGTTTATGCTTCAATGTTTATCAAGGCAGTTTGGTATGTGTTAGACATGACCCTCTGGTATATTAACATAGACCCTGGCAGTCATCGGGGTTGGAAGATTAGTTTCCACTATAAATTTGTAATTTTCAGGGTCCAACTGTTAATTTACCAGAGGGTAACATGTATCAACCCCTACAATTAGAGGGAAAAAACATGGCATGGGTCTTGGGCGGTGCTCAAGACATTCCCTCAAGCTCTGGTGGGAATGACCACCCTCGAGACCCCACAGTTCCAACGTTGTTTTATAGACCCCTATACCCTATAGATATGGTTATCTGTCAAAACCAGGTACATCAAAATAACTGGGAATGGTGGATATATAATATAAAATACTAAAATAACATATATAATATTATATCAATATTATATAATGTAATATAATATAATACACTATAAACTAACATAATACAATATAATATATAACATCAATATAATGTAAACTAAATATAATATAATATAATAAAAGATAAGAAAAAACTATATATATATATATACATATGCATGCGATTATCATACTGATACTATATAAACTATATTGTATATATGTATACATTCACAAATTATACAAATCTCATTGAACTTCTCTCTATATAGATAGGCGTCCCCTTTTGGATCAGTGCTTTGTTAGGAATTCATGGCCTGACTCCCCACCTTTTTGAAACTCGCCTGCCAGAAACTGCGCCACTGCTTGAACGATCGACTCGAGTTCATCGCACGGAAGCTCCGGCCATTCCTGGAGCTTCGGAGAATGAAAGACAATTCAGATATCATGTGAGTCATTCAGATAATATGTAAATGTATATGAATCTAATCTGTCTAAATCTATCTACACATATATGTATGTAAATATCTATATATATATATATTCAATCTGTATATAAAAACATGTATGAATATAAAATATACATATGTAAATATGAATGTATATATATATATAGTTTTCTATGTTTTAAGTGATTCAAAATTACTTAAATGAAAAAATCCGCCCGTTTACACTCCCTTTCCGCCGCGTATCGTTATATATATATATGATCTTGACACATGTGGTTACCCTAACAAATGTTACAACTATGTTGATAACAATGAAGATGGACATGAACATGATTAACAACAAAATGATTAATTAGTACTATTATTATCATTATCATTGTTGCAATGTGGCGGTGTTGTGATGATGCGGTGGATGCTAATCAGTAAGGCTGTATTTTTGAACATCTGTGTTATCAGTGTTTGACAAAATGAAATCGTAGCCAGTGCCACATGCATGAACTATACATTTTAAACAGTGGAGGCCAAGTTCTCCTCAATTCTCCTCCAATGGCCTAAACAGAATAGTTCAGTACATGCACCAATCCTGTTTTTTCATTATACATTGTGTTCATGCAAATTTGACATGGAACCCTAGAAACAAAAAAGAGAAAAAATCAACCTGTCCAAACAACAAACAACATTGTTTTGTATTAGATGTTGGTATATGTTCATTTTCAATGTTTTGGACTTTGAACATCATCACATAAAGCAAAACACTGGTCACTGGTACTTCAAGATCATCCACCCCTGGGTTCGCTACACATCCCCATGTTTGATGGTTCGATATGGTTTGATGACCCCTGCGTGGATGTTTCCAAGATGTTCGTCAGTATTGATGGTTAACATCCCCATCTATCATCTATCCCCATACTGGTAAATCCAATTTTTCCAGCTTAGTCTCCCATTTTCATGGTCAATTCTTTATAGCTTTAGATGACATAAAATGTTTCATCACATCATGTTTTGGTGAAACCTGAAATTTGAGTTTGATTGAAAATAGGGTACCCCTGAATCCATTGATTAATAAGTTTCTCCAAAAAAATGTCATTAGAGGTATACCACATGTTCAATTTAAAAAAACAAAGTCAAACACAGTTGGCCATAACATACCCTCCGGAAATCAAACAAAGCAATTGAAAGTCCCCCAATGGAAAACTTATTTTCCCAGCTACAAACTTCCATCCAGTCTCAAGGTTGTGCCGACAAACGTTAAATTTGTTGGTTTAGAGTTTAGAGCCCACATTAACTATAGAATGCTATAGATATAATTATATCTACCATAATTCCAAATTATTTCATAACGTGATAAACCAACTTTGCTATCATAAATCACCGGTATGCACCTATAAATCCCAATGTCGCATGGTTAAAGACACTAATTAGCCTCTGGTAATCAAACCTGCTTTGCTTGCATTCCTCATGGCTAGTTTGGGGAATTCCCAGCCACGTTTGACGACATCGGATCACTAGGGTTTACAGATGTTTACAGGGAATCTATAGTAAAGATGAATGGTTCCTCTGGTGTGGATGAAGTTACAAAAACCACTATGGTTAATTATTCCATATATATATATATATACATTGGGTGAACTAAATAGGTTCTTAATCAGTTAATAGCCAGTTAGGTTAGCTATGATGACTCACTATGGTTACTATGGTTACTGCCTATGGTTAATCTTTACTCAGGTCATGGAATGATCCTCCTCCCACCTTCACCACGGCTGTCGAGGCACGGGATCCATCAGCAGCCGCGCCACCGTGGCCTGCACCACCGCCGCGGCCGGCGGAGCCAGGGCCGGCTCTGGCGGCGTCGTCGTGGGCTCTGGCCGCGGACGGGCCTGGGATGCCACGGTGTACCTTGAAGCCGAGGTGGCTGAGGTAGCCGAGGTTGGTTTAACAGTGGTGAAACTGAACTTGTCATAGAAGAGAGATGACATACATTTAGTGTAATACAGATTGATTATTGTATATATATATAACGCGCGGTATAAGATCTTAAGGGGCCCGGATCCAATGCGGGCTACATATTTTCAGGCATACCAAGGACATAGTAATAGTACTTTAAGAATTTGAGGGACCCTGGGATAGGATTGCCAAATTCTTAAGTGACTATTTATACGTGAGAAGCTGTGGCCAGGGCAAGCATAGGAAAACCATCAAACCAAAACAACGATGAAGGGTAAATTCTGTCACAATAATGCTTTCAGGTCTGTGTGTGTGTGCGTTTGCGAAACCTGCCTGATGTGCTTGCGATTGTGATTGACCCCAGAGCATTTGAGCTCAGACCAGGATGCGAGCTTAGATCCTTCGATTCTGAATGCTGACACGCTAGCCACTGTGCCACAGAGCCCTTGCCTCGGGAGAATTTTACCTTCTTATTCTCTCTGGGATGGCTGCGCGGGGCTGGGGTTTGGCCTGGATTGTGGTTGTGAGTTGTGCGCAAGGGGCGCGCGACCAATGTGTTCAGCGCGTTCCTGAAGGGTCCAAGCAGGCCACCACCCTCCAACCTTCCCGGCATGTTTTGCAACCCGTACGAGGGCCCATCAGTGGCTCTTTATAGGGCCTGTTCTTTCTTCTTCTCTTCCACAGGCATGGGAGTATTTATATAACTATATAACACTACTTATTATATACGTATATTAATATGTATATATATATATATGTCCTATATTTAAGTATATGTCCTACACAAAAAAAGAATGCTCTCAGAATCTGAGGGGCCCTCGACCTATTATGGTGGAAATGCCCCTGCATTTATTTACAAATAAGAATTTGAGGGGCCCTGGGCCTCAAACTTTCGGATTCTTAACCAACTCTCGGGCTGTATATTGCCGATTCAAATGTGTCAATAACAAATAGGTACCAATAACATAAAATAGTAAACCATAGTACCCATAGTATCTACTATCGAATGGTTTATCATAATTTCCCGATTTAATGGCCATTTGGGGGTCATATAGAAATTATAATCATTACAGTATCCATTGGTTAAATCCCTGTTTTGATGCTTAGTTCTTCATTCTTTGCCATTATATATGATCATAAACCATTAGATAGTAGCCAGCTGTGGGTACTATGGTTTACTATATGATGTTGGTATATGTTACCATATAGTGTTAATACCATTACCGTATAGATTAGCATATAGATTGCGATGGGTACAATTGTTACTAATATATGTTACCCTCTGGTAAATTAACATAGACCCTAGCAGTTGTCGGGGTTGGAAGATTAGTTTCCATTAAAACTAGGCTATTTTCAGGGTCCATGTTAATTTACCAGAGGGTAATACATACCATAGTACACCATTTACATCCATAGTACATACCATTACCATTACCATTATAGATTACCATTAGCAGTGCTTTACCATTACCATATTGTATATATAATATTATATAATATTATAATATATTGGATGGATATAAACCATAGTATTAGGTAAGATACTAACTGTTTGGATAATATATGTTACTAATTGTTTAGTAACCATTATTACCACTAGTAACCATATAATATATGGATCCATTAATAATGGTAATGGTATGGTTACTAATATATACTAATATATGTTATTGCTTACCTCATATCCAAACCACCGAGCGACTGATCTCCTAAGGCTCCCTCCAGGCGCTTGCGTTTCTCCATGCCACTGCCCGCCACCACCGTGCTGGGCTCCACGGTGGCCTTGGGTGAAGCGCGCGTTCAGGGCCAAGACATCAGGGATGATTTAACCCAGAAAAATGCAGGTTTCACCAAGAAAAATGAGGGTTTCACCAACAGAAATGATACTAGTTATCAATTTCTGGTTTATACCATTGTTGTGTATTGTCAGTGTATGATGGAATGGTGCGAATGGAGGTGCACCGGAACTATAAAGACTGAAACTAAAGAAAAAGGCTCATATCCTAAAAGGGTTGAGAAGACAAACAGCAACCATAAAGCATGGTGAAAAGACATGAATAGTTACCTGGGAATTGCTATGGCCGATAACTTATATCAGCAGTTTCATGAAATGATGGATCGAATCCGTCCCCGATTCGTGGCTTATCCCATAGATTGATAAAAAAGCTATGGTTCTTAGCCACTTCCTACTTACTGGTGCGTTTTACGTAGGGTTGCTGGATGGGTTGCTGGGGGTTGCTGGGAGTTGCTGGGATGATCCCGCAAGTACCGATGTCATGCTACTGGCAGCCGACTGGAAAAACCTGGGATTTTTCAACTACTAAAAATTGCCCTTTGGGGCACCCAAGATGAAAACACCAGGCCCATAACGAAGGATCAAAGAAACACAAGAAATGTCTAGTGACTAGTGTGGAACATATCATATTTGATGCTGATACTCAGTCATACCCCCTCTGCGAGTTTACAAACAGGTGCTGTCACAGATCGGGCCAATTCCTATCCGAAAGCTTCTTTTGCCAAGCTCAATTGGATTTATATTGATATGTGGTTGCTCTTGGCGTCATCATTTTTCAAAAGAAACTGAACCCAGTTGCACTTTGAGGGACGACGGAACTAGGTACAGGATTCCTCATATCCCCAAAAAACGGGGTAGAGACTGACCCGCAAACGCAAACCCTCAAAAACTCACCATCTTACATCAGTTTGACCAATTTCTAACTCATCAAACCACACCGTTTGAAGATGGCTCACAAAGTGGTTTTAGAACCATAGCGATCCATAGCCATCATCTCAAAATTTGGGTATACACCACCCAATGTATGGCAAATGTCATATACAAAACTGATGATGAACCAGTGGATTTAGGGGCCATGAGGGGGCCATAGCTTTACACATGCATATGTTCCCACCTGTTCCCATCATTTTCCCATTACGTACCCATATGTTTGAATATGTTCCAATCATGTTCCCTTTTTTTCCCATTGAATCATATAGTTCCCATATGGAGGTTTACCCCCAAATCATCCAAGTAATGGATGACCAGTTTAGTATTGAAACCTATGGTGACGACTAAGATCCCCCATTTGAAGAAGCCCCCCATACTGTACCACATCTTCCCATCATTTTTCTGCGCGGCCGCAAAATAGGCATCGATGAGGCTGTTCAGGGTGCTGTTGGAGGCCGGTTCTGTGCTGTCAGGATCAGAGACCTGCGAAGAGTTGAAGCACCAGAAACGACGAGAAAATTGTAGGATTTATACCCATCAAAAATGAAGGATTTTATGAGATATTCATGGGTATTGAAAGGATAGTTGATGACTCAAAATTCACATAGACCCTGAAAATAAACAATCGTTAGTGGAAACAGTGGAAACCAATCTTCCAACCTCTAAAGCAGGGTCGTCATGGGAATTTACCGGTAAGTCATACAAAACATGTGGATTTCACATGATTTAACCATGCAAAATGGAGATTTCCATGGAATTTTCAGGGTTCAATGGGATGATCCCTCACCATAGGCTTAACCAAGATGAGATGAACGTGCCGTAACAGCTGTGGGGGAACCTGCCCCTTCCAATGTGTCACTGTATCGCTGATCCCAGCTCACCGTAAAAGCTCACTCTTCAAATACCTGGAACCCTAAATGAAGAAAGGTGGGGTGATCTGTGGTGCTACTACCTGTACATTGCAAATCTCCACGGGTGAATTCAAATTTTAGGTATGTATGTATATATATATATATATACTCCTCCAAGTTCATATGTATATACATACGCATATTCATCACTAATGACAAGTATGTAACATATATATATATATAAATACACACATACACGGGTAATTCGGGTAAGTTTTAATTGACACATAGTGGTTTGTCTGAAAATGTGGTGTACACTATACCCCCCAAATGTCAATTTCAATTGGAACATCATCATCAACCATACTGTCTGGCGGAACCGTGTGGAACTCTACATTCAAAACAAAGCCACATGGAGGTTTCACAACGATATATTGGATATATTGCAATTCGATGATGAGTTACTATAAGTTGTGAATATATATATATATATACATGTGTAAGTTATAGTATGGAGGTTTCACAACTCGATGGAGGTTTTGTATATCTCCAGACATTCTCACTTTACAAACAAAACATGGCGGGAAACTCATCCCATGTGGCGGGAAACGAAAACACCCCCTGGCTGGATCCTGGTGGTGAACCCGACTGGGGAATCTCCGTATCTTTCTCCGCATGTTCGACTGGGAAAATTGTTGTTCAGTTAGACCCGCCGTCGGAAAGATGCTAGTCCGTTTGATGGGTAAAAACACAAGAACTAACCTATACCAACCTGGCGTTTTTTGATGATTGCTGGTTACTGTCAGACAACCCTATGTTTGATATTGATTTCCAAGTATATCACCATGTGGTTGATATAGTATCCGCAATAGATTGGGTTTAACAATGTAACAATGTTCATGCCCAATGAAATGGGTATTCTAGGCCTTTAACCCATCCCCATATCCAGTATTTTGTGATGATTAATGGTTACTGTAATACTAAAATTGAAGTGAACATAGATATCAATCAGTTCATCTTCATCAATATGAATTAAACATATCTGTGTTCATCTTTGTTCACATCATATGCTGTTAATAGAACTACTGTAGTTATCATAAGATATCATAAGTATAATTACCAAACACACACACACCCAAGAAAACAAACGATATTCACAACTACAAATAGTACTGTGATTATGAATGATCGCAACACTATTTCCATCAGTACAATCATTAAATTCAAGATACTTTATCACTAATCACACTTGGCCATGGAAAACGCCCAAACTAAATGGAGGTTTCTGGGACAATGGCATCAAACTAAATCCCCATATACATAGTAACAGATTGAGGATTATCATTACAAATACATGATACTAAACATTTCAAATATAGAAAATTATAGAAATAGTGATATAGATTGATATAGTATCATCATATGAATCTATCCATTCTATCCATTCTATATATATATATATATATCACCAACGTCCATCACAACATCCACCAGGTCCACCATCCCGCCGGCCTGCTGTCGTTCACGCGCCTCTGCAGCCCGTGTCAAGGCAATGAAGGCGGCGTCCAACTTCTCCACAGCTGAGGCCCGCGCGCGAACCTGAAAGGATGGGAGCTGAACCCGGTTAGCCACTACAGTTATGGCATGTTATGGCCCGAAATACCAGTTATATAAGTTATAAGTACTAAGAAAACCCCATTTATAGAATGTATAATCCCATAGAAATAAGCAGATATATGATATAACTAATAAATGGCATTAAATGGCCACAACGGTACAGCTTTCCACTTTCAATGCTATAGCTGCTATATGATAAACATCTAAACCCACGCAAACCTGTCTCATCCAGAAAAAAAAACGGGGCAGGGTGACACACATTTCCTTCAGCATCTTCAGCTTGTCCCAGGTATCCGATTCTGTTGCGGCTCGAGGCACGTTGATGCTACTAATCTCCGCAGCCCACTCCTCGAGTTGACTTTCGCTCACGGGTTTCAGTACTGACACCTGCCGTCCGGATCATCTGGCGCGGGAAACCGGGGAATGTTTGTTGCTTTGGAAGTAGCACCGTTGTGAAGATTGAACATTTTAAGGATGTTTATATAATGTTCATATGGGCTCATTGGGTATCGTATATGAAATATACCTCATTTTCAGAGACACCCAGATGTTTGGGGGTCCATGGCTGCAAACCAGCAGTGGCGGGGAGGGCGGCTCAACAAATATCTTGACATGTACGGTGCAAAGTGAAACCATCGTGCTTGTCATTTTCATTCCGAGCACATTCGAGATGCTCATTCCACCCCGACCAATTCCTCAGAAAGCATCAAGCTACCCCTCCGGTAATTTGATACTTTGCCTTGGAAAATCATCGAACTACCTACACCATGGTGGGCCTTCCAGTACGCAAAGTCTTAGAACTTATGGCCCCAGGTGATTCATCCCCCAGGGGCCCAGGTATGGTCCCAGGATCCCCCAGGTATGGTCCCAGGGCCCCAGGATCCCCCAGGCCATGTAGCCGAAGTCCGCTTTCTCCACACTGAACTCATCTCCACGTGCTTGCCACAAGCCATTGGACAGCTGTCCCGCTGTACCACCCATGGCTGCGATGGCCTCGTTGTTTGGCTTCGATGAAACATGCTGACTGGAAATTGCTGCTTCAGAAAATGTCATAAACCGTGAAAATTCAAATAAATTTCTAGATGATTGTCCCACTCAGACCTACATCTAGTTCGGGGATTTCCCAGCTAGCCATGTTTGATTACCAGAGGATACCAGAGGTAAACTATACTAAACTATGGTAAACTTGAGTTGCTTTCACTTGGAAATCATGGATTACAACCCAGCTACTTCCTATCAATCCGAACCCAGGATCATCCGTTTGTGCAGCTCACAGGTGGCTAGTTGGCTCAAGCCGCTTTTGGATCGTATCTTCGAATTTGGACTCAGACCCAGTGTCGAGGACATTGATATGACATACTTGCTAGTAGATGCTAGTAGTTGGAGAATATTGAAGTATCAATATCTTGATCTAATATCTATCAGAGATAGAATCGATCGACAACCCTGCCACTCAAGTGTCATCAACTTTTCGCACCAGGATCCACTGGTCTCCTACCAGGAACACACGCCCAAGCTACCCTAAGTCCAAACTCAAGTTCCCCTGAGCCTAATCCACTAAACCTCACAAGAATTCTTCAAGATTTGTCGCAATGTCACAACAAATCACTTAAAATGGCACACAACACGTGGTTTTTGTCAAGTTTTCCTTTTTTTCCTACCCATATCTCCCATTTCCGTCAGTTGCTCGCCCCTATCACATCCTATCACCATGAAATCATCCGCATCTCCCAGTCGTTCCGCCCCCCGTTGCGCAAACCCTCCGGAATGGCGCCTTGGCGGTGTCCAGGCTGTGCACGGGTCCCACCTTTTTGGTCAACGGCAGCACCTGCCGCAGCAGGGGATCCACCTCCGCCAGCTGCTGCGGGTCGCTTTTGAAGAAGCGGAGCTTCAGCTTCGTGGGGAAGGCTGACAGCAGCGAGACGTAGCCCGCCGCATGCCTCAGGGATCACAATCATGAGAACTCGATGGGTGATATGTGTCTTTGTTCCAACATGTTGTTTATTTGAATATGTGGATTGGGGAATTCACTGATTTGCTTGGAGAGTCCTTGGGGGGCATTTGGGATACGGTGTGGGTCAAAAAAACATTCCAGTGGAAGGTCCTTGTTGGGATCATGATACATGGGAATTCAAGTAGATGGATGTTCGCTTTTGAAGCGTGACTCGGGGGTTTTACTTGGCGATGTTAAGACAACATGATGGTAGATGGTAATAGCAACAGTATTTATAGACCTTTCTGAAACTTGATGACATTTAACATCATTTAACGGGTAGTTCTGTGAGAAGTGCTTCCTTGGTGAACTTCAGGCTGCGATTCTATTGGTCCGCCTCCCTCTCTGGTTGATGGAATCGCCACTGAGTCATTTTGGGACCATTGAGGGACCCATACCTAAATGGGATTCCTCTGGCTTTGTATCTAACACCATTCAAAAGTTGCTGTGAAATATCCATACCAACAAGTACTGTGCTTGGGCCTAGCGCAATGAATCATTGGAGCATATTGGAGCCATAGAGTCCTTTTCGACCTGCAGGTCCTATCTCTTAATATGAACCACCCCTGATCGACCCAGCGTGCCTACACAAATGCGCCAGCACCGAGTGCAGCTCATCCGTGGAACAATTCATCCTTGGGGCTGGTAGAATCTCTTCCTAGCCCATACCATCGATTTCGTTTTTATTAGCACACATATATGGGGGCTGTTCTAAACCTAAGTAGTTTCTTGCGTTACTTTATCCATCTTGCGCTCGCCCTTGCGCCTTCTTGCGCTTCCCAGGGGTTTAGCGCAAAATGATATCCGAATACTAATTTAGTTTACTTTGCATTTCATGTGGCATATCTGGCTCGCGTGACGTTTACAATAGATAGGGTCTTCATTTGTAGGCACTTATTTCCTCCTTTTCTGAATTGTTGCGACAATGTGCTGGAAAGAGCTTTGTGCAAGCTTTGCAGTACACAGTAGTACTGGGAATTAGTTTGTGCAAGCTTTGTAGTACACAGTAGTACTGGGAAGTAGTTTGTGCAAGCTTTGCAGTACACAGTAGTACTGGGAATTAGTTTGTGCAAGCTTTGTAGTACAAAGTAGTACTGGGAAGTGGTTTGTGCAAGCTTTGTAGTACACAATAGTACTGGGAAGTAGTTTGTGCAAGCTTTGTAGTACACAGTAGTATTGGGAAGTAGTTTGTGCAAGCTTTGTAGTACACAGTAGTACTGGGAAGTGATTTGTGCAAGCTTTGTAGTACACAGTAGTACTGGGAAGTAGTTTGTGCAAGCTTTGTAGTACAAAGTAGTACTGGGAAGTGGTTTGTGCAAGCTTTGTAGTACAAAGTAGTACTGGGAAGTGGTGTGTGCAAGCTTTGTAGTACACAGTAGTACTGGGAAGTAGTTTGTGCAAGCTTTGTAGTACAAAGTAGTACTGGGAAGTGGTGTGTGCAAGCTTTGTAGTACACAGTAGTACTGGGAAGTAGTTTGTGCAAGCTTTGTAGTACACAGTAGTACTGGGAAGTGGTTTGTGCAAGCTTTGTAGTACACAGTACAACTGGGAAGAGGTTTGTGCAAGCTTTGTAGTACACAGTAGTACTGGGAAGTAGTTTGCGCAAGCTTCGTAGTACAAAGTAGTACTGGGAAGTGGTTTGTGCAAGCTTTGTAGTACACAGTAGTACTGGGAAGTGGTTTGTGCAAGCTTTGTAGTACAAAGTAGTACTGGGAAGTGGTTTGTGCAAGCTTTGTAGTACAAAGTAGTACTGGGAAGGATTTTTTGCAAGCTTAGTAGTACACAGTAGTACTGGGAAGTAGAAGGGTGCTTGTCTGGAAACGGAATGTAAACCCGAAACTATTTATGGAACAAAGCAATGACGATCAACTATGTGATTTTGGGGTGGCATGTTTTCAGAAAAACAATTTCCAATACAGTAATTTTACTATATATATATATAAATAAAACCACTACTACTACTACTACTACTACTACTACTACTACTACTACTACTACTACTACTACTACTACTACTACTACTACTACTACTACTACTACCGTATCTGATTTAGATCTTAAATATTAATATCTCGAGTTGATAAACATAGATAACCAGGGTGGTAAATAGGCCATCCAAAGAAAAAGGAGCAGATAGATAGATAGATAGATAAATAGATAGATAGATAGATAGAGATAAAGCAGCCAACGCGGTCCGGAAGACATGCAGCAGCAGCCCGGAGATGGTGAGCAGGAAGGTGTTTCAGAGTGGTTTCAGACCTCTTTTGGGCTCGTTTTTTGGGTACCCCCAGCTTTGGGAGATGAAAAAAGAAAGAGAAAAGGTAGAGAAAGAGAGAGAGAGAGAGACAGAGAGAGGAAGAGGGAAAGAGAGAGAAAGAGAGATAGAGAGAGAGAGAGAGAGAAGAAGATGGAAGATGGAGACAAACAGAAGGCGAGAGAGAGAGAGAGAGAGAGACAGAGAGAGGAAGAGGGAGAGGAGAGAGAGAGCGTTGTAAATGGTGAGCAGCGGGGTGTTTCAGAGTGGTTTCAGACCTCTTTTTGTCCGTAGGCTACCTCAGCTTTGGAGAGAAAACAGGAAAAAACGGGAAAAGAAAGAAGAGAAGGGAGAAAGAGACAGAGAGAAAGAAGAAGTCTTGAGACGGTGAGCAGGAAGATGTGTCGAACTGGTTTCAGACCTCTTTTGGGGCCGGTTATGGGGCTACCTAGTTCTTAAGACATCCAAAAGAAGGGACTCGAAACAGATTGTACTTGAAACACATGCGGTCCGGAAAGACGTGCAACGGTCCGGAAAAGCAAGCACCCAAAACGTACTCTAATCGTAGCGATTGCGGTCCGGAAAGGCATGCAGCGGTCCGGAAAAGCGAGCACCCAAAACGCACTCTAATTGTAGACATTGCGGTCCGGAAAGATGAGCAGCGGTCCGGAAAAGCAAGCGCTCAAAACGTACTCTAATTGAAGACATTGCGGCCCGGAAAGACATGCAGCGGTCCGGAAAAGCAAGCACCCAAAACGTACTCTAATTGTAGACATTACGGTCCGGAAAGACATGCAGCGGTCCGGAACAGCAAGCACCCAAAACCTACTCTAATTTTAATCAGTGCGGTCCGGAAAGACATGCAGCGGTCCAGAAAAGCAAGCACCCAAAACGTACTCTAATTGTAGCCATTGTGGTCCGGAAAGACATGCAGCGGTCCGGAAAAGCAAGCACCCAAAACGTACTCTAATTGTAGACATTACGGTCCGAAAGACATGCAGCGGTCCGGAAAAGCAAGCACCCAAAACGTACTCTAATTGTAGCCATTGTGGTCCGGAAAGACGTGCAGCGCTCCGGAAAAGCAAGCAGCAAAAAAGTAGTCTAATTGTAGATATCGCGGTCCGAAAGACATGCAGCGGTCCGGAAAAGCAAGCACCCAAAACGTACTCTAATTGTAGCCATTGTGGTCCGGAAAACCTGCAGCGGTCCGGAAAAGGAAGCACCCAAAAAGTACTCTAATTGTAGCCATTGTGGTCCGGAAAGACCTGCAGCGGTCCGGAAAAGCAAGCACCCAAAAAGTACTCTAATTGTAGATATCGCGGTCCGGAAAGACTAGCAGCGGTCCGGAAAAGCAAGCACCCAAAACGTACTCTAATTGTAGATATCGCGGTCCGGAAAGACGTGCAGCGGTCCGGAAAAGCAAGCACCCAAAACGTACTCTAATTGTAGACATTACGGTCCGGAAAGACATGCAGCGGTCCGGAAAAGCAAGCACCTATAAGACATTACGGTCCGGAAAGACATGCAGCGGTCGGGAAAAGATGATAGCACGACGAGAGACAGAGAGAGAGAGAGAGACAGAGAGAGGAAGAGGGAGAGGAGAGAGAGAGCGTTGTAAATGGGTGTTTCAGAGTGGTTTCAGACCTCTTTTTGTCCTTAGGCTACCTTAGCTTTGGAGAAAAGGAAAGAACGGGAAAAGAAAGAAGAGAAGGGAGAAAGAGACAGAGATAAAGCAAGCACCCAAAACGTACTCTAATTGTAGCCATTGTGGTCCGGAAAGACCTGCAGCGGTCCGGAAAAGCAAGCGCCCAAAACGTACTCTAATTGTAGACATTGTGGTCCGGAAAGACCTGCAGCGGTCCGGAAAAGAAAGCAGCCAAAACGTACTCTAATTGTAGCCATTGTGGTCCGGAAAGACCTGCAGCGGTCCGGAAAAGCAAGCACCCAAAAAGTACTCTAATTGTAGATTTCGCGGTCCGGAAAGACATGCAGCGGTCCGGAACAGCAAGCACAGCGGTCCGGAAAAGAAAGCACCCAAAACGTACTCTAATTGTAGATATCGCGGTCTGGAAAGACGTGCAGCGGTCCGGAAAAGCAAGCACCCAAAACGTAGTCTAATTGTAGCCATCGCGGTCCGGAAAGACGTGCAGCGGTCCGGAAAAGCAAGCATCCAAAACGTACTCTAATTGTAGCCATTGTGGTCCGGAAAGACCTGCAGCGGTCCGGAAAAGAAAGCACCCAAAACGTACTCTAATTGTAGATATCGCGGTCTGGAAAGACGTGCAGCGGTCCGGAAAAGCAAGCACCTAAGACATTACGGCCCGGAAAGACATGCAGCGGTCGGGAAAAGAGGATAGCACGAGACAGAGATGGAGACAAACAGAAGGCGAGAGAGAGAGAGAGAGAGAGAGAGACAGAGAGAGGAAGAGGGAGAGGAGAGAGAGAGAGCGTTGTAAATGGTGAGCAGCGGGTGTTTCAGCGTGGTTTCAGACCTCTTTTTGTCCTTAGGCTACCTCAGCTTTGGAGAAAAAACAGGAAAGAACGGGAAAAGAAAGAAGAGAAGGGAGAAAGAGAGGAGAGACAAAGCAAGCACCCAAAACGTACTCTAATTGTAGCCATTGTGGTCCGGAAAGACCTGCAGCGGTCCTAAAGTCTACAATAAGAGTACGTTTTGGGTGCTTGCTTTTCCGGACCGCTGCAGATCTTTCCGGACCACAATGATTACAATTAGAGTACGTTTTGGGTGCTTGCTGTTCCGGACCGCTGCATGTCTTTCCGGACCGTAATGTCTACAATTAGAGTACGTTTTGGTTGCTTGCTTTTCCGGACCGCTGCAAGTCTTTCCGGACCACAATGGCTACAATTAGAGTACGTTTTGGGTGCTTGCTTTTCCGGACCGCTGCATGTCTTTCGGACCGTAATGTTTACAATTAGAGTACGTTTTGGGCGCTTGCTTTTCCGGGCCGCTGCAGGTCTTTCCGGACCGCGATATCTACAATTAGAATACTTTTTGGGTGCTTGCTTTTCCGGACCGCTGCAGGTCTTTCCGGACCACAATGGCTACAATTAGAGTACTTTTTTGGTGCTTGCTTTTCCGGACCGCAGCAGGTCTTTCCGGACCACAATGGCTACAATTAGAGTACGTTTTGGGTGCTTGCTTTTCCGGACCGCTGCAGGTCTTTCCGGACCACAATGATTACAATTAGAGTACGTTTTGGGTGCTTGCTTTTCCGGACCGCTGCATGTCTTTCGGACCGTAATGTCTACAATTAGAGTACGTTTTGGGTGCTTGCTTTTCCGGACCGCTGCATGTCTTTCCGGACCACAATGGCTTCAATTAGAGTACGTTTTGGGTGCTTGCTTTTCCGGACCGCTGCATGTCTTTCCGGACCACAATGGCTACAATTAGAGTACGTTTTGGGTGCTTGCTTTGTCTCTGTCTCTTTCTCCCTTCTCTTCTTTCTTTTCCCGTTCTTTCCTGTTTTTTCTCCAAAGCTGAGGTAGCCTAAGGACAAAAAGAGGTCTGAAACCACTCTGAAACACCCGCTGCTCACCATTTACAACGCTCTCTCTCTCCTCTCCCTCTTCCTCTCTCTGTCTCTCTCTCTCTGTCTCTCGTGCTATCCTCTTTTCCCGCCCGCTGCATGTCTTTCCGGACCGTAATGTCTACAATTAGAATAAGTGCTTGCTTTTCCGGACCGCTGCACGTCTTTCCGGACCGTAATGTCTACAATAAGAGTACGTTTTGGGTGCTTGCTGTTCCAGACCGCTGCAGGTCTTTCCGGACCGTAATGTCTACAATTAGAGTACGTTTTGGGTGCTTGCTTTTCCGGACCGCTGCACGTCTTTCCGGACCGCGATATCTACAATTAGAGTACGTTTTGGGTGCTTGCTTTTCCGGACCGCTGCAGGTCTTTCGGACCGTAATGTTTACAATTAGAGTACGTTTTGGGTGCTTGCTTTTCCGGACCGCTGCAGGTCTTTCCGGACCGCGCTATCTACAATTAGAATACTTTTTGGGTGCTTGCTTTTCCGGACCGCTGCAGATCTTTCCGGGCCGCAATGATTACAATTAGAGTACTTTTTGAGTGCTTGCTTTTCCGGACCGCTGCAAGTCTTTCCGGACCGCAATGTCTACAATTAGAGTGCATTTTGGGTGCTCGCTTTTCCGGACCGCTGCATGCCTTTCCGGACCGCAATCGCTACGATTAGAGTACGTTTTGGGTGCTTGCTTTTCCGGACCGTTGCACGTCTTTCCGGACCGCATGTGTTTCAAGTACAATCTGTTTTGAGTCCCTTCTTTTGGATGTCTTAAGAACTAGGTAGCCCCATAACCGGCCCCAAAAGAGGTCTGAAACCAGTTCGACACATCTTCCTGCTCACCGTCTCAAGACTTCTTCTTTCTCTCTGTCTCTTTCTCCCTTCTCTTCTTTCTTTTCCCGTTTTTTCCTGTTTTTTCTCCAAAGCTGAGGTAGCCTACGGACAAAAAGAGGTCTGAAACCACTCTGAAACACCCCGCTGCTCACCATTTACAACGCTCTCTCTTTCCTCTCCCTCTTCCTCTCTCTGTCTCTCTCTCTCTCTCTCGCCTTCTGTTTGTCTCCATCTTCCATCTTCCTCTCTCTCTCTCTCTATCTCTCTCTCTCTCTCTCTTTCCCTCTTCCTCTCTCTGTCTCTCTCTCTCTCTCTCTCTCTCTTTCTCTACCTTTTCTCTTTCTTTTTTCATCTCCCAAAGCTGGGGGTACCCAAAAAACAAGCCCAAAAGAGGTCTGAAACCACTCTGAAACACCTTCCTGCTCACCATCTCCGGACTGCTGCTGCATGTCTTCTGGACCGCGTTGGCTGCTTTATCTCTATCTATCTATCTATCTATTTATCTATCTATCTATCTGCTCCTTTTTCTTTGGATGGCCTATTTACCACACTGGTTATCTATGTTTATCAACTCGAGATATTAATATTTAAGATCTAAATCAGATACGGTAGTAGTAGTAGTAGTAGTAGTAGTAGTAGTAGTAGTAGCAGGAGTAGCAGGAGTAGTAGTAGTAGTAGTAGTAGTGGTAGTAGTAGTAGTAGTAGTCGTGGTAGTAGCAGTAGTGGTAGCAGTAGCAGTAGCAGTAGCAGTAGCAGTAGCAGTAGCAGTAGCAGTAGCAGTAGCAGTAGCAGTAGTAGTAGTAGTAGACAAATAAATAGTAGTAGTGGTAGTACTACTAGTAGTAGTAGTCGTGGTAGTGGTAGTAGTAGTAGTAGTAGTAGTAGAAGTAGTAGTAGTAGTAGAAGTAGAAGTAGTAGTAGTAGTAGTAGTAGTAAAAGGAACGTAGAAAGGAAAAGAAAAGAAACAAAAGCAAAAGAAAGCAGGAAATTATATATCTATACTTATACAACCTTGCGCTCGCCCTTGCGCCTTCTTGCGCCTTCCCTGGATAAATCATGTGTTTTTGCCCTACAGAATCACCAAAGTAACGCCTCCACTAAATTTCCTTCAAGGGGGTTTAGAACGACCTCCATATAATAAGTAATTAATGTGTAGTCATATCTCTGTATGATACAAAATATGTTTGCATGGATTTGGTAAACGTTTAGGGGTAAGCACATATAAGTATATAATATATACCATTCATGCAATGCATGGATAATGATAAACACCGCAAAAGATCCTAGTTTTGTTGTCGGGATTGGATTGTTTACCTAGATGTACTCTCAATCAGGTTGTCCTGAATGTAAACATACCGTGTATGGCTGGTACCAGTAGATAGAACTTGTGAAGACGTATTATGAAATTATTCTTAATCAATATCTGGGAGAATAATCATCCGGAATCCACATGAGTTCGGAACAAAATCTTGGATTATTATTTCAGTCCTCTTCATTAAAACACCCAACACCTTCAGCTATCATCATAACATGTTTATATGACATGTTTGCTCGTTGAAGATGCCTCTGATGTGCCGATATGGGCCGTACCACCCGATGGAAACTGGGAGGAGTCAAGGAGGGCTTTCCGACAGGATGTGAGGGCCATGTTTAATGTTTGGTAGCTTGAAGAGTCAGGGACGCAAAAACTAACCAGCAAAATCTCTATTAGTACTTCAGAAACTTATGAATTCCATGAAGGTATAAGCTCAATTTTGGCTACCCTCGGGTAATTTAACATAGCAATGAACGAAGGCCCATTATATATAGAACCATTTCCTAGAAACAAGTTCCATTTAGTTCAAAGCTTTCTCAGCCAGCCATGTTTGATTACCGAAGTGCATTTCTTTAAGTAAATATGACTGTAGAAAATAGCCAATTTTTAGTAGAATCCCCATGGCTCAACCGATCAACAGGTTTTTTTGTTCATGGCTCAAATGGCTGTTCTGATCCTCGAGTCCCATCACCAAGTCGCTCTTTGGCCACAAGTTTTTGGTCCAAGGAGAGACAGTACGGCTGCCAGCCTGGCGGTGCCCCCCCCCAATGAGCGTTGTAAATGGTGGTTTAAGCAGCAAAAGTGGGGATTTATTACATGGAGATGTATTAATTGATGATAGCTAAATTGGTTTAGAATTATAATTATACACTTTATCTATCATCAATTATAAAGCAGAATTTATGTTAGATATATCGAACTAGACAATGGGAGTTCTAAACCAACATATATACAAAACTTGGGTAGCACCACCTTGTACCATCCATGATGTATTCCATTCACCAAAAAACTCACTGTTTCTTTAGGTGATTTGGAAAGAAACTGTATCTGAGTATCTCATCTCCGTGGATGATCCTTATAGGCCTTCTGCGGCAGATTTTCCACCCCGGCAGTGCCTTTGGGCAGATCCTCTTCTTTTCCCCCAGCCAAGAGCAAGGCATCTTTGGACAGCGGATGATGTGGATACGCCTGCGAGTCCTCTCCTCGGCAGGTGATCCAACATTTTCCCCGCTGGTGTTTTGATGGAAGTCAGACAAAATAGGCAAATGTCAACTGAGCCAACTGGTGGCTATGGTGAGTTTTAGGCCATTTTAGACACAGTTCAGCTCTCTCTATCTCTGGTTACTCTGTGCATCCCTACCCGGCGACAAGATCTTTCCAGGACAACTAAAAACTGTCAAGCTCTCCCAATGCTTTCTGTTTCAACAGTTGATTTAGGAAAACCCCACTACGATTTGGTATTGTAGAAATCAAATTAGACTTGTTTCAGGAACAATATAAACATATGAAAACAAAACAAATCACCGCTGGATTGTTTTCCCGATATGTTCAACATGTTTTGGTTGTTCAATATGTTCCCGATATGTTCAACATGAGGCAGCACCAAACAACAAACATAACTGGTGGGCCCTTCCTAGATATGTGTGTAAATCCCATATACTATTGGATTGGACCATTGGTTCAAAGTTTCCTACAGTGCCCATAATTGATGGGATTTATCGATGTTCATTTATGCCCCTAGTATTCTTGGTTTCAGACCCTAATATTCCAAAATTCCAACATCATCTTCGACCCCCATGTCATAAATCCGAACTTAATGGTTACTTCACCCATACAAGGTGGTGCCCCCCCAGTTATAAGTTGATTTATAACCCAAATTAAGTATAGGTATATCTACCATAAAGCCAAATTATTGGAGTTATTTGCATCAACTTAGCTAACGATGGGTCAATGGGGCACCACATTGTACGTTAAACCTAGACCCAACTAGGCTTCCGGACGCAGCAGCGCCATCAGCAGCTTCCGCACCAGGGGTACCTTGGTGCCGCCCCCGGCGCCACCGCTCTCCAACCAACGCATCATCTGGTAGTCCTCCACGCGTTGAGGATGGAAACGCAAGGCGCTGCCCAAAGTGTTATAGTATCTATATGGTTATTTTTCATACAGTATATAGATATACTATGTTGTACTATATATTATATATGTTATGAATAAAAAATGGTTAAATAATTGTACAAATATATACATATGTAGTCATATGTATCGCACCATTTGATAGGCCTTGAAAACCAACCAACACAACTGGACAATCCCTGCAAATCCAGACTCGCCGTACGCTAGATCGAAAAACGACGGAAATTCCAAATGATTCCACATTCCACCGCCATTTAGATGGCTGTGGATCACAATACATTTCATGTTCAAGTTTTATTAATTGTTTGTTTAACGGAAAAAACAAGTCTCTAAACAATGTTTTGACCAAGGCAACCATGATCTAAGTTGTAGATCTTAACCCTGATTTGTGAAAACAATTCCTGCCTTCATTGCCAATTTTAGATATATAGATACTCTGTGGGGCAAAAACATGTTTTAGCTGGTCAGTGCATATATATATACACATATTATAATCATAGCACAGTATTAAGCTGTACTCATGTACTCTTGACCAGTCCGTTGCCCTAGTAAGGTATCAACACCCATCAATCTACGTTATTTATTCGTTCAATCCCCAATATTGCTGAACGTTGGATGCCACCTTATATAACTTATATATTGCCTTTGATATTTCAATATTGTAAGAACAATTCATGTTTAATATGTTTTTTGTTGTTTAAACATCTTGTTAAATTGGTCCAAACCCATCAAAGCAACGTGCTGACCCATGTTCTTTATGCTAAGTTCACAATCTCTTGGCTAAACCACCATTTCTGATGGTCAACATCATTACAACGCGGCCCCCAGTTATAAGTTTGGTTTTTGTTCACCCCATGACTACTATTGTCAATAATTTGTACAGATCTATACCAACTTCGCCATCGAAAACCAGGGGCCCCACGCCCCACGTTGCTTTGGGAACGGTCACCAGGGTCCGTCACATCAGTAGCCCGCCTTGGGCGACACCAGCGCCACACACTTGCCAGGCTGGCCGTCTCGGGCACAGCGTCCGGTTTCTTGGATGTAATTCCTGACGGCTTGGCACCTGGTAACCACGAACTTGTTGGAAACCCATTGAAATTCTGAATATGGAAATCATTGGAAATCCACAATTTATATGGAAAATCCATGAACGTATAATTATTAGTCATAATTGCACATACACAAATGAATTAATGAAAGATCATCTTCTTTCTGGGCGGTTTGACTGGTGGTTTTTCACATCCCCTGCGCTGCCAAGGGGCTCGATACTCTTGGGGATGCCATAGTGCACCACTAGACCTGGGACGAACGTTGAACGTTGACCATCTTTACCACTGGAAGAATCTGGACGAATCTGGATCTTCAGTTCTGTGACTTTGGTGCTTCGTTTGCACAGAAAATCTACAGAATGACTGCAATGTGAGGCCCCCAAGATATAAGTTGGTTTATAAGCCCCAGTAACTACAGTTATAAATACCATAAACCATAGTTATTGGAGTTATAAACCAACTTAGCTATCTTGGAGGCCTCACATTGTGGATATTTGATGATATTTGATGATGCTCCTGCTTTTTGGCGATGATGGTCCTTCATATGCGGACGTGCAAACAAAGAATCAAAACGGGCGATGAGACTAGACACTCACTACCCACAGATGATGCTGCATGTGGGGATACTCCACTCTTTCCAAAGTTTGTAGGACATCCTAGTTTCCCTGCAGGTGATCCTCCTCTTGCTGCACGCCGACTGATGAACCAATATCTTGAAATCTCTTGAAAACTGTGTCCATGGTCTGCAACGCTGACCCAGTCTGAAAGCCAAGTAGCCAAAAAACGAAAGATCTCTTGCACTGAGGTGCTAAAACAGTCTTCGTTTGTTTTGGTACCAATAGCTGTCAATTTGTTGTTACTTTACTATACCTGGATCTCATCCCAGCTCCGAAGTTATCTTGCACCCAGTGGTCATTCCTTCCCTCAAACCAATGGACCCATATCCAACAATTCGGCGACACATCCGGAAAAACAATGGCCAAAACTCACGACCCAAAACATCCAAAACAAGATTTCGCCAGGGAAATCTCGCTCCCATTACCAATTCCCTCATCCTTGGTCCTGGTATCCATTCTTCCCATTCTCTGTTGAGGCGCGGATATCCGGTTTGTCCAAGCCCATCCCAAAGGCTACCGTGGCCACCACCACCTTCAGCTTCCCTGCGCCGGATGATGCCAATAACCAACTGGTGCAGGATTTTGCATCCACTGTATGTCATGGATACTCAATGGTTTCCTTATAGTGTTTCATTGATATTTTATACTATTGAAACGTCATGGGTTTTGGGAATCCGCCATTTACGAAGCCATGATATGGCAACAAAGTACAAGATATCTATATTCATGATAGATCGATTTAATCATCAATGTAAAGCTAGGTTGAACCAATTAACAACATCTTAGCAGCGTTCAAAACCCGAAATGTAATCCCTTTGTACTGGCTGGTTAAGAATGGATTGTCCATAATCTAATGGATTGTGATAATCCCCAACATATATCAACATATTGGATAGTATAACTCCATATAATCAACCAACAGGGGTAAACAGTGAACAGCATTCACTGAAGAACTCAACAACATCTCCACTCCATCCACTGATCGTTTCCACATCCTTTTCCGTTTCCAGTTCCGCAGGCGCCTGACATAAAGTTGGCCTGCACTGCAGACCGCGCGTCTGCCAGCATATCACCGTGGTAGGCTGATACTCCTCCTGTGGGTGTCGGGACAGCTCGGATGTTGATGGGATGAAATAAGCTCTGCGAACTTCTCATGGATATGGCTTTAAGCCCATAACATCACATCCATGCATATAGCAAATTAAGTAACAAATCACATAAAATCATAGAACCTAAGCCCTTACTTTTATCGCTGGAATCGCTGGATTCCATGTGTCAGCAAGATTTCATGACTAAAATCCGTATAACACATCATATGACATCAAATACAATCAATATAAGATCCATATAAACACATATACAACAATTTCAACATAAACAAACTGCAACATCACGTCAATTAAAACAGAACCGCTAGTTTTGACTCCACTTGGAAGTGCAGTTCCAGTCATTATCCCCACTGATGTGGGTTCATAACCATGGTTACAGTATACCCATCGGGAGAACCTCATCTGCGCCCCAAGTTGTGCTGTCTTGATGATAATTTGCAAATCATGCAACCACCACATTCCTTGTTCATTGGTCATCTAAACATCAATTAGAGAAGGTTGACCATGGGGTTTAATTGATAGATGATGATTGGTTGATCCATACCCCTGTTGATTGGTTTTAGTTGTAGTCTGACCATACTTCGCAGGGTTTCCGCCATCAAATGTGGAGATAACTGGCAAATAATCCCACTATATAATCCCACTGTAATCCCAGATCTAAATCCCACTAAATCTCCATTATATAAATTCCATTACAAACACCATTAACCACCATTGCTTTCCATTAACTCGCCATTGAATCACCATAACATCACCATTAAATCATGGGTTTGTCACGGCACGCCCCGCCTTTGACGTAGGGCCGCAGCTGCTTCGCCAGCTGATCGGCCGTCAGCTTGCGCCAGACGTAGATCACCACGCTCTCCGTGGGCTGCACCTCGATAAGAATGGATAGTTAAAGATATCAATAATGATATCATATCATATAATGGTATGATATTATGGTATAAACATGGTATAGCCAACAATACTGGATATTGAATGGATGACCAATGGATAAGTTGTGTTTAAATAGCATGTTTGAAGACAATTTTGGTGGAACTAACTATCCATGGATGGCCAATAATAATGGACAGTTGAGGGATAGCCAACAATGATGGTTATCCAAAGATAAACTATCCAAAGATTGACACGTCCAATAATATGCCATTAACATTCCATTAATATTCCATTAAACATGAAAAAATGGTATAGCCAACAACAATGGATAGTGAATGAATGATTAATGAATAAATAATGATAACAATGGATAGCTAACCATCATCATAACCGTTAATAAGGATAAGTATAACCAACAATTTATGGTATAACCAAGAACAATGGAATTAACTATTCATGAATGGTACATTGATAATGGTATAAGCAACAATAGTGGATAGTTAATGGATGAATAATGGATAAGTGGTGTTTTAATAGCATAAGTGGTGCAACAATAACGGGTAGTGATGTTTTATATAGAGGTGTATACATATATTTATACAAAGGACAATAGTGATGATGTTAATATGGTAATGTGATTATATGTGATTCTGATAGCAATGATAATCAAAATGCATATTAGATGTCATTACTATTACTTTGATTCATTATTATCATCTATAGCATAATTACAATTCTTACCATCATTATACGCATATAAAATAATTTACATACATACATGTATATATATATACATATTTACTTAGATTCTACATATTTTCATAAAACCTAATAAGGGGATTGTCTGATTTTCCAGCAAACCATGTTTTACCGGAGGGTAAGTCATTATGATTGTCCCAAATAGATCCAAATAGACAATATAATGCTGGTAAAAGCAGCAATAGTAAACCACCCACAGTTTCATTGTTTATACCACCCATAAACATGGTAAAGTTGGGGATGGCTTGCTATTGCTTTACTAGCATTAATTAATAATGTACTTTTATATGTGGATAAATTAGTGTATGTGTTTGTCCGAAAATAGCCAGCGTTTTCCTGGCTACCCGACCATTCTTGCATATTTTTGCCGTTGACACACAGTTTTTTTTTCCTTCCCCTCTGGTACTGAAAGATGGCAACATGGCTTGCTGAAGAATCCCCCATTGAGTTCCCAGCTCGGCCAGCCATGTTTGATGACACTGGAGGGCCCCCATATCATATCACATATCTTTGGTACTGTAGATAAATTCCCATTGATATCCCCATATTCCCATTGATATTCAATTAAATCCCTATTACACAACCATTTATAACCATTCCTGGAGGGCAAATACCCCATGAAATCCAATATTATGCCTATGCCATTCTATCTCCATATATCTCCATGTAACTCGATGATTTTCCCATGATTCTTCGAACATTGCCATGTCTTCGGTCCTTCTCCCAGCTTTTTTCACAACGTGCCCGGTTTTTTTCCACCTCGTTCCGGATGACTTTGATCAGCTCTCGGGTCTGCATATCTGAATCCTGCGTCCGAAAGATAAACCAAAGACATGGACTTTATGCTGGACTAATGGATATATTATTCATATATATACACATGATTGTACGTGTATAGATATATGATTGATTTACGATGATCTTAGGATTATACAGTATATATAATTAATTATATATATATATATACATAGAATTTCTATGGAAATGGAGGAAATGGGTGGGGTACCCAATTTTCAGAGAAGCCCACATGATTTCATGTGGGTTTCATGCAATTTTAGCAGAATTTCAGCATTGCAAGGGAGGTCAACGAGAAAAAATAGTGAGGAAATCAAGGAAGAGATCGTAGCCTTTGAAGAGGGGTTAGTCAACAACGATCCAGAGATGAACGAAGCAGCAAAAACACGGGATTCTAACAAATAACCATAGCTGGTCAACCAACAAATATGGAGAAACCATGCAGCAAACAGTAGGAAATAAACATGGGGAAACCAACATGCATAGGAATCAGACAATCTACAAATAGGTACCTGGCGTGATAGCTATCCATAGCTGGCGTTTTGGGATGGTCATTCCGGTGCTGGCGTAATCCATCCCCAAAAGGGTGCATTAACTATACTCAATAAGCGAAGGGATGCGAGCCAGTGGACATCTGGATGGATCCCGCAAAACCGTGCAAAACCTGAGTGGCGCTTTCAATCCCAAAAAAGCTTCGTCAAAAACGGGATCATCATGCCAAGATGTTACAGAATACGAGAGCAACATATGCCAAGTCACCATCCAAAAAAATCTGTCACCAACCACATCTTGAAGAATAAATCACCAACGTGAAAGGATCGGCCAACGATCTTCCATGGTGGATACCTACCCCAATCCTAATCCTAATTCCAATGATAATTTTGCAGCGAGGTCGTTATTGTCATAATTCATCCAGAAATATCCCGTGGTGTTCGGATTGGTTAACAAATCCCCACTCTATCCCTATCGCAGCGCCATGCTTTTCTTGGTTAAGTCACCATGTCACCCTTTTTTTTGCACATCTTCCAACGTCGGCCCAAGACACCGGCAGCGTGCGCACGTCCATGGTGATGTTTTGCCGCTGCACCCGCAGCTGTGCCGCATCTGCCAGCAGCTCAGCAACACAGAAGCTGCGATCGCGGCGAACCACGAAGTCCAAGTTCAAGATGTCCTAGGCTCGTGCCATGGCCACCGAAAACAAAAAAGGCAAGTTTCATGGGATGTCATGGGAAATACATGAAAAAAGGCATGGACATTAATAATGGGATGATATGGGATTTAAATACTTAGAATGTGGGGGCCCCGGTTTCTATAGCCAAGTTGGTGCAAAGAACTCCAATAACATCCAATAACTATGGTTTATGATTTATGATAGTTATTGCTTTAGTCTTTATTGGCTTTCTAAGCCAACTTATAACTGGGGGGCCACATTGTAGGGGTGCTATATGCGCAATAGCCATCCATGGCCAGGGTACATCATAAGTATGGGATGATGTATGATGATGTGATGTGATGCAATTGTTTTGATTTGTTTTCGGATTCATGCCAACAAACATGGGATATCATCGGATTATTGGAAAAGCATCGGATATATATATATATATATATAATATTATATATATAATATTATAATATATATAATATATATAATAATATATATATAATTATATATATAATCAGTATATAATTACATATATATATATAATTATGTAATATATGTAAATATTAACCACACACATGATATATGGATGTATATGGGTTATGGTTATCCAACCAGAATGAGGGATTCAATGAATATAATATGTATCCCGATCCATGGTTGTACGACCATCCCAAATTGTGGTGATATCATCCAACTTATGAGCATGGCACATACGGCCGCATGAAAATGGGTGCATTGGCTTGCCCCATAGTCAGCTAAGTTGGTTTACAACTTTGCTAACTATGCTTTGTGGTAGATACATCTCTATACATAGCTTTTGTTGATGGGGATATGATGGAAACATATGACTCGCAGTGGATTTAAGGGCAGCCTATATTTGGGCAAACCCACATTCAACAAAACCTCAACCATATGTTTCTCCCTAGAAACAATCTTTTCTCAGATTTCTGGGGTCTAGAATCCTTCCAGATAATTCCATTTGAGGTATACTTTTAGTGACATCCGAATGGTTACACCATATTATACCTATACTTTATCTGCGACCAAAAAGTATAGCCATCACCAAGACCAAGTGACGCACACTGACTGCACGGTAGGTTTGGTGGCGGTCGCAGTGAGAGCTAGGACACGTTTGGCCTTGACATGCAAAGGGGTGGCTGTATGGCGGATGTTTCAATCTATCAATGTTTACAGTAAATGGGATTTAACCATGGCTCTTAGGGGTTTTGAACAATCAAAGATAGGTGTTACAGTATATACCAGCCAGAAATGGGGGTTTCCATAATCATGGGGGATCCCCAATAGCTGGATGGTTTAGAAGGGAAAATCCTATTTAATAAATGGATGAAATTTGGAGGTACCCCCCCATTTTAGCAAACCATGAGGGTCTGTGTAACAAATCAGGGCATCATCAAGATGCCAAAACACATGATCTCCCAAAAATCAAGAATAACTACAAAAAACAACAAATACATGCAATGGTTGTAATATGTTGTAATCATCAAACATCAAAAACACCTAAGAAGCAGGTGCTAGGTTTTGTGCGAGCCACACCATCCCCAAGGCTTCTCATAGCACATTGTCATGTGGGGCCTCCCTTTCGATAGCGAAATTGGTTTATAAACCCGATGACTACCATACTTACAAGTATCATAAACCACAGTGAAATTGGAGTTAGATCATTCCGATCACCTCAGGAACAGAAAATCACATAATAAATCTGTTTGTTGATGTCATGCTGAAGTAGAACGAATCAGATAGAACCTGTAGAATATTAGGTATTTTCATGTGTTTTCTTTTTCTTTCAACCAATATTCCCAGATTCTATCTATTTCCGGATGGTTAAGTAAATCACAAAGCATTTAGGCCTCCATTCGTTGGAGCTTCCACCGGCCTGAAAAAACTCCATGAGTGGTGACTTTCTCTCATGGACAACAGGAACATAAGGTAAACGTATGTTTAAATATGTTTAATATGTGCATGGTTTACATACAATGAATATGGTTCAAGCATAGTGGATATATAGGTTGATACTCCCATCCCCCAAACGAAACCCTGGTTTAGTACTGGATCTATTCATGAATTGGGGCCGTGAGGGCAGTATTTCATACAGTATTGTGGGGAAGGGATTGAATCAAAAGCACCCAGGGAAAAAGCAGCCATAGCACGTTCAAAGCTCCCTGCAAGTACTCGTTGAGGCGTAGATACCTTGATCAGAAGCGCAGTTGGCTCTTCTGGGAAGCATTGCTGTGGCCAAGTTGGTAGAAGACGTCAAATGTCAATATGGGAATCGACAAGATACTGCAATGCCTGGGAAGTTCTGTTATTGCTTCGCATATGGTGGGCATGTGGCAAGGCACGCCAGGAAACAAGAAACCATGACCAGTACTATCATCACAACCATCAGCAGTGCAACCATCATTGCACCACGACCATCACCATCACCATCACCATTAATTTTTCTTCTTCTTCTTCTTCATCATCATCATCATCATCATGTTCATCATTTATATCATTCATATCATTTATATTCATGCATGTTGATAGGTGTTCCCATTCAAGAACCCTATGTATCTGCGAGTTTCATTGATGTTCTTCATGTCCAAGGCACTCGGGCCGAAAGTTGTGCGACCACTCTGAAACACAGTGGGCCTTTGCTGCCACGGGAACCGTGGAATGTTTGTGGAATCATTGTAATATGGAGATTAAAAATACAATATGGAGATTACAATATTCATTTTCACATTTTTACAGAATGGGGATTACATATTTAATATTTGTGTGGAACTACAGGATGGGGATTACACTTTGTTGGAATCATTCTTTCGGAGTCTCAGTGGGGTCTCCAGCAAGTGGCCCATGATGGGGATGAAACAAAATTGCTACCCCATAAATTGATTTTAAGCGCTCATGTATGTACGAGGTGTAAATACATATTTAGCCGCAAATCCAACATGATGTATTATCTCCCCATATGTTGTTTTATGGTTGAAAACATGACTAACCAAACACTGATATTCATCAAATTTTGAAAAATCAACCGTTGTGTATCCTCACATGTTTGCTACTTAAAGACCCATGGTCAACCTCTACAAATGATGGCTCAATTCGGTAAAATCAAAAAAGAAACAATAATCAGTCAAGGGGTCGGTCAGAAACCAAAATTGAAGGTACCTGACGTATGCAAGGTCTAGATAAGGCTTAAGGGAATATTGACCCAAGAAATTGTCTTATTGTGTAAAATTGTGTACGGTACTTTTTGGTTGCAGTTGAGGTTACAGTAGATATGAGTCCGGACTCCGGATCCCTGGCCCCCCCCCCATGGTATGGTCCCCCAAGCCCACGGCCCCCCCCCCAATGGTATGGTCCCCCAAGCTCACGCTCTCGGGAACGCGGGACAATACATACATGCATGCATGCATGCATGCATCCATGCATCCATCCATCCATCCATACATACATACAGACACACACACACACACAGAGACAGACATACATACCTATCTACCTACCTACCTACCTACATTTACATACCTACGTACCTACGTACCTACGTACCTACGTACCTACATACACACGCACATACATACATACATACATACATACATACATACATACCTACCTACCTACCTACCTACAAACAAACAAACAAACAAACATACATACATACATACATACATACACACATACATACATACATACATACATACATACCAACATACCAACATACCAACATACATACCACCACCACAGGCCACAGGGGGGGGGGACCAGAAGAACCATACCACCACCACAGGCCACAGGGGGGGGGGGACCATCGGGGGGGGAGGGGGGGGCTTGGGAGTCCTGGGTCATATATATAAATATAATTATATATAATATAATTATATATATTATATATATCTCTTTCTATCTATAATTAATATATATATATATGAATATGATTGCGTAACCATTGTTACAGGGCTTATATCCCAACTCATGATTATTTCCATAGCTATATATACCCATTGATAACCTCAATTGCACCCCCAAGCCGTTGATCCGAACGGGATAAGGCCACAGGACCTCGTCGATGCAGGCCAAGGCGATGGGAGGCATGCCACATCCATCGAAGGACCACATTCCAAGCCTGGGATAAAACATATATTGGATCCATTGGGAAATCCACATATACACTTTATAATATGCTGTGTAGATGTAGATTAGACTATTGGTTTCAAACAATTTCAAACATACATATATATATAATATGTATATACACATTCTAATTTGCATGTGTTTTATATTTAATGTTTAATATAGTATAATATATAGTAGTGTAATCTACAGAAAGGGATTAAGCATGTGCACCAGCAGAAAATGACTTCTGGAGGTGACGAGCACTCCGGGCGCCTTTCGGGCGAAACAAAAAGCACATCCACCAAGCGCGCACGAACCGCCTGGCATCGGGTGATACTGAGAAATGTTTGCCGCAGCAAAAAAAGAAAAAATGGACCTCTACTGAACTGACCATGGACCTGTGAGTTTTCAGGAAGCAAAACCAAGTATATACCATACATCAGCAAAACCATCTTTGGAGGGAATCTATCCTCTTTATACCACCGTGTCTATATATCCACTGTGTCTATATATACAATCTAAAACGCATAGGTGTAAGTCATATTTCTTTCCCAAGAATGGTTTAGTATGAGTTACAGTAAATCCCAAAAACAGGAGCGGGGATTGCTACACCACCATTTTTTTTTGCCTGCAAGCCATCACCGGATCAATGGCCATTCCAGGATCCTAAATTGGAGGTACCTACCATATATAAGGCCTATATAAGGCCTATGTAAGGGAATATCCCCACAAAATATGGCCTTATATGGTACAGTACCTCCATTTTAGGATCCTGGAGATCTCCCATTGACCGGATGGCGATCAGAAAATGCGTCACTGGACAGTACCGGTGAGGACGACATGGGATGAAACCATACCATGGTTAGCAACCTCCCCGCTATCACAAGGGCAGCCAACTCACATCCAAAAAGTGGTACCTCAAAAATGGCAAAGTTGATGTATGTACAAAAAGTGCATTCCTCATGTTCAGTCTTCAAAGAAATACGTATACATAATTAAATAAATTATATATATATGCCTTTCCAACAGGCACCATGTGGAATCCCTATACTTGGCATTCCGCCAAATGATCGATGTATGGCATTGTGGCATCCATGTCCCATTGTCTACCAACACTATTCATTTGCCTAAGGTTTATCTCGAAATTCACGCAGGCACATTAGTGAATACCATCCTAATGAATCCAAAAAAAACTCCAATACGCGTTAGTTACCATTGCTGAATTACAATATTTCACAAACCCGGAAAAGGCCATTTAAATGGTTCCCTGGTTCCCGTGAACTATATTATTTAGGGCGTGAGGTCGTTAGAATTCACCTAGATGATTGACCATATTTGACCATTATTGTATTTACTACTACGAGTAGTCGCCATTTACCGCTATAATATACCATTATCCATAATTCGCCATTGTTCATCATTTTTTAACCATTGCTTAACATGTTTAATTTACCAGTATTCATAATTATCTAAGCATTCTTTACCATTACACTCTGCACTCCGGTAATCAAACATGGCGCTGGGAAATCTCCCACTTATAGCTGATGTTTTCCGTTAAATCCTTTGTTTAGAAGGGGATTCCCAATGGCCATGTTTCATTAACGGGATGGCATTTAACTATGGTTTACCCAACGGTACTTTAACATAGCTATGGAAAATGGACCATACAAATATATAGAAATAAATGATTTACCTATCAAAATGGTGACTTTCCATAGCTTTTTGTATGTTTACCAGAGAGTGTGTGTATATATATATACATAGCTAGTTAGGCTAAGTTGGTTTATAAACCCAAAAAATACATTTAATTACTATACTTTATATACTATATACTATACTATACTAAACTATACTATACCATATCATACCATACCATACTATGCTATAGTATACTATACCATACCATACGATACTATACTATACTACCATACCATACCACACGTTCTACTATACGATACTTACAAGTATCACAAAGCATAGTGAAATTGGAGTTGCCTATGATTGAGAGAGCATGGTGATGGTATGGTCCCTCCGATTTCCTCCAGGCCTTCATGACCTCGCGCGCAGTCTCGCGACTTTGCTGGCCGCTGCAGACAGCACCACGCCTTGAGGTGATCCAACGTGGCGGGAAATGCCCCAGGGAACCTGGAAAATCATGGGAAAAACATGGGAAAACCATGGGAAAATCCGTGAACATCATCTGTAAATATGAGTAATGTGGATTTGCCATGCGACTCATTCCTGGAGGGTATATGGGAAGCAGAGCGCCCTAAGGGCCACACTTGACTGGAACGGCTGGAGGCTGACACTAGCATTTCAGGTTCCAAAGGGCGCAGGAAAACCAAGAACAGTGGTTTCTACATATGTTTGGCTAAGCCAACCAGTTGATATTCCAGCCAAAAAAGGTCACCGTGAAACCGAACTGTGATGTCAATAATTTCTTCCCCCCACGGCCTTTCCGATGATTTTACCAGTAAATGTGTATACCTAGTTTTGATCCATATATTGTGGCACATGTAGATGTATATATATATATATACATACACACAATTCCTCCTCAAAGTTTTGGCACAAGACATCCCTGGCCATGTATATTTGATTATGTTTTGTCCAAAAAGAACAAATGCCCTCCCCCCAGATGCCCCCAGCCGCGCTCAAGGAACAAACATTTGGGCAGTCGTGCCAGTTGGTCAGCCATCAGCGAGACCAATGGGGACACTACTAAGGTCAAGCCTTCTTCCCGGAGCCTTGGAAATGCAGTGAACCAGTGAAAAAAGTGGATATATATATATAATATGTACACGTGTATATATATATATATAAATAATTATATATATATAAATAATTATATATATATATATATCTTGTACATATGTGACATGTGAACATAGTTATATGATGTATACAGTAGGATGTTACAAGTGGATAGATTTCACCATACTTATGGGGCCCCAGCACCCCCAAGCGGTGTATTGATGGCAAACTGCCTTCCAACATGTTGACACACGTCACACAATTTAAGTTTTACAGCCAGGAATTTTTACACAGACCAGCTCTGACAACAACAAGTCCTCACACAAACAAACTTTTATGCACCAACCACCAAACCATCACCAGCTAGTTCTTCAACCAACTTGTTTTATACACCAGCTAGTTGTCACAACAGAAACCAACTTTGACATCAAAATTAGAACCAACTCAGGTGTTTTCCACCTGCTAGAACCGTTGTCGAAGTCAAAACCCTGGTGAAAATGTCACATGCGACATACGGCTAATCTTAGGTACCAGGCAGCCCTGACAAATATACCCAATATCATATTGGCTTCATCTTCAGGGGTTGGTAACTGTCCCATTTTGGGTATATTGGACATCACCTGATAGTAGCCATTATAGACAATATACCTAATGGTTGGGTGATGTTCAATGGGGACATTTAATGACCCATGATCTTTTCCCATCTAGCTAAATAAAAATAATAAAAAACATGATCTCCATTAGGTCTTTGCCGATCAAGTAGGGGATATGTTGGACTCATTGCAGATGGTTCGTCAAGTTTTTTGCGGTGGACCTTCAGTTGCTTGGCACATGGCATTGCCTGAAAGCTACAACCCTTGTTTCTTACCACTATTTCATTGTCCTTTAAGCGTATACCACATGTTCATGTCAAGAAGAACAAACACACATATTATTTATATAATATGATGATATAAAGTAAAATAATATAGTATAATAAAATATAATATGATATACTATATATCATAATATAGTAACATTATGTAATATATAATAATATAAGACAATACATCATATATATATAAGATAATGTAAACATTGTGTAATATATTATATCCACATCATCTGTACATATCGTATATAACCATCATATTATATACAATATACATTCTACCTTAAATATTGATAATGATGATGATAATATTTATATGAATTAGTAATAAGAAAAATACTACTAAACATAATTTACATATATATATATATTGTACTATAATATGTATACAGTACATATAATTATGTATATATATATATGTAAATACATATACACACACACCATTTTCCGACCAAGTCACAACTTTCTGAAGATCTCCCCCATGTGGAAAAAACAACGTGACCAAGTGACAAATAGGCTGGCAGCTGATAGCACAAGGATTTGCCAGAGCCTGTCGCCAGTAGCAACAAAGTGCGCTTGAGATCCAGCACGGCAAGTACCGCCTGCGGACAAATGGCAGTACACCGATGGTTGATTTCAAGGAAAATCCCTATGAATCATGGATGATTTGGAGGAAAATCCTCTGGTAAAATTAAACGTAACCATGGAAGACCCCCATGTTTGATACAAGTAGCTAAATCAACTATTTTTATGGGCCATCAATAGCTATGCAACAACTTACCACAAAGTACCCCCATGACTTAGGAAACCATCTCCGTTGCCGTTGATCGGCCACCTCCATCTGTCCGGGTCTAAAGGACTCGTGCCCAAAGACCTCGCGACGACGAATCGATCGGTGCCAACCAATTTACCCCCCCCGGGTAACTGCGGTGTGTGAAATATGAGGGAAATATCATCGAACTACCACCCGGGGTTAAGACTTTGTTATCGTTTTTGGGGTTACTATCATGTGGTAAATAAATAATTAATGGATAGTTCATGGATGATGAATGGATAATTCATGATAATTCATGGATCAATGGATATACCCTCTGGTAATGTGTTGAATAGCTATTGAAACATTCTCTATAGATGGTGATTTTCATAGTTTTATTACATTACCAAAGGATATATTTTAGTGAATTCCTTTAAATACATTTGGCAGAATTATGTGTGTTCTGTGTTTTTTGGCTACAAATAAGGTGGTTAACTAGGAGGAACCCAAATACGCAAATTGTAGGCAAATACAGGCCGATAACATATGGAAAATGCGAGACCCATTCGAAAGAATTTAGATATTCAATTGATCTCGGAAACTAAACCAACTACAGAATTGGGGAAATATATGCATAACTGTCCATTCAGTGGAGCGATGGTCAAGTCTCGAATTAGCCAAACACCTCCAAAAACACATAAAACAGTGTACTGGGAAAATACCAAAGGATGTATTGAACTTGTAGCATCAAGATACTAAATCCAACTAATTTCAATCCATTCCCACCGTTATTAAATACCACCCAATCAAAACCATGGTCCTGTATTGGATCTATTGATAAATTGGGGTCCCAATAGTTGGGCGTTAATGCGGGATGGGATTCATATAAGGCGTGTCCCCAAACTATCCCTATCGATCATTACCTGAGCAGAAATCAAAATAGAACTGAGGTCCTATCTTATCATTCCATGCTATAAAAACTGCTTGGTGTTTCAATCCCTCTGAAAAATGATGGACTTCGTCAGTTGGGATGATGACATTATCAACTGAATGGACAAATAATCCAAATCTTCCAACCACCAACCAGTTATAATGTATATCTATATATATATATGATTTTATATGCCTGTGTGGTACAATCGTTTGGTACCCAGAATATCAACTTAACTGTGTCACGATAAATCCCCAGAATCAAGGGGTGCCTCCGACGGCCGTTTCTTACCCGTTGGAGAAACAAACCACCGGGCCTCGCGAAGAACTCGGGTCAATTCCTCAGGACAACAGCTCTCTGGCTGGGGTGGCTCCTGCTCTGTCTCACCTGGGACAGCGCACACGTGTAAACATGTATATATGTATATTATATAGTGTTTACATATGATATGTATTTATATATATATATATGATTACGAGTATATATACATGTATATATATATATATGTATATATATAAGTATATATATAATGTATATAATGTATATATATATATATATTATGTATATATCGCAACAACAAAAATCTGCAGTATTGCCCATATAGAAATTTATGGTATGTTGCTTGAATCCCATGTGTGTATATATATATATACATATCATATACATATGCAGCTCAAATGCACGCTATTTTATATAATATTATATATAATCTTGTATATTGTGATGTTATATGTTATTGATAACATATTTGCAAACCACACCTCTAGCTCCAAATCGTTTGCATTCCTGCTTAAGAAACAAAAACATTTACTGAGCGGCGTATCTGCGACAGGATTGTGGCTCAACCCGGCAATCCTTTTGAACAAGTGGCAAATAACAAGTTTAGGATCAAACTGTCAAACATCAGCAACTGCTGATCAATCGTTCTAGGCAAGCTACATATATATATATATATACATAATTATATGGTAAATCCATGTAAATCCTGTTTAGATATCAACATTCCTGGATTTCAAGTTGTTTTTTGGGTACCGTGCTTTCCCTTCTCAAACACCCAGGTCTTGGCACCTTCATCTGGTGGTCGGAAGTCTGCCAAATCATCTGCTTCCTCCTGGCCCCGTGGATACGATCTGCCGCCCGAAAAACCATCATTTTTCAAAGCTAAATAGCAGCTAAATCAACGAAACAAAAAATATGGCCATGGCATGCCATCACATAGCATGGCAAAGCTATGTGGGAAATGACCCGAGGGTACTTGTCATGGACTCCAATGACTTATGTGTAAAAAAAACACATGCTAGGGATATTGATAACAGCCGCAGGCCACAGGTTGATACGATGCCCCCCCGTCAGCGATATTACAACATTTAAGGAATGCTTAGGGGGTTCAAAGGGACGCCCTACCTATTACCCTCCGGTGTCAAACACGGAAGGCTGGGAGATCTCCGCACTAAATGCTGGTTTCAATGGGAAAATCATCTAATGAGGCATACATATTATTGGACCGGCGCTGAGTTTGAGTCTTCAAACTCTCAGCATGACAATATTATACAATATTAATCAATATTACTATATTATAGTTATTACACATACAAATGAAGAGATCAGATTAAGCAATTAAACAACGTGAAAAATCTTCAGGTCAAGCCAAGCAGGGTCAAAAATCACTCGTGCAATGCACCAAGACTACTGATCCTACGATTCATTCAGATTGTGAGCGGGAACTAAAAATGTAAATAGCTGGTGAAACGATGGGCGCAAGCATTCAATCAATAGGAGATGTGAGATGCGGCTCAACACCAGCTGCTCAGGAATCAAGGGCAGTGATCCTGCAAGCAGTTTTACCATGTTTTACCGGTATACCTCATTCTATCCTCAAATCTTATCCAGCATCAAATTTCCCAAAGCGGAAAATAAGGCATTGTTGGGTTGGTTTCCCAAGCAACCATCATTTGCAGGTCTTCACAATTTGCCGAGATATAAAGCCTCTTTCCAAGAAAACAACTATGATTTGGAGTGAACTCTTTTCTTTATTAGCCCATTCCCTAGTCTTGGTGTTATGTTGATCCCCTGCTAAGTGTGTTTAACTCTTAGTTGGTCGGATGTGGGTTCAAATCCATCCCAAAAAACACAACCAAAATCTAGATCTGTTTTCTTTTGGAAATCCTGGTCAACAAGTCCCCGCTTCGTCAGAACTGGATACAAATTCATTGTAATCCAACTTTATAAGAAGCTACCACATCAGTGGGGTGAACCAGCAAATAACTGTGGGTTCATGTGGCCCAATGGGGTAGTCTCATGTAGGAACACTTAGAAAGACCCAAGCCTAAGGCCAAAGGCTATTGGACAGTCCCCATACCTGAAGCGTCGCCAAAAGCTCTGGAGTCAAAGCGTCAGAAAAACTCCTGGCAGCGCTCCAGAAAGGTCGTTGACCTTTCCGTGTTCATTCTATGGTTTATGGTTAGGGTACATAATGGGTTGATATCATGGGTTAATATACTGTAATAGGTTGATATAATTGGTTCTAGATTCTTTTCGCAGGGTATATCATTGTAGATCGGTTCAATGTTGTTCAAAGGCGTTAGTCAATCCAACCTCTGGCAATCTACCCCGGTCATGGAAACACAAATGCAACAAAGCACGAGATATGTAATCCCACATTGACAACAAAAGAAGTAATTATCTGAAACAAAACTATCTCTAGAAGAAGTATGTCAGGATCGTTTGATCAAAATCACCAAGTCGGGGCAGTGATGAACTTATTTGAAATCTTTTCCTTTTTGAAGGCAGGGCTGAACCAAGATGCTGGGCTGGTGCTTCGAACACTGCGAGGAAAGTTCGAAGGGGAGGAAAGATATCGGGAGACGAACTCCACAGAACCTTTCCCAACAGACTTCAACGGCCCTCAACAGAATTTTAAGGGATGTTGCCGGATCAACATGAACCGGCAATGTGAAGTCCTCAATTTCATTTGCAAGGGCGTACTCCAGTAATCGAACATAGCTATGGAAAATGGATGAACATGGAGCATAGAAATATAGATGATTCACCTCCTGGAGCGACGAAAAGACCCCAACGGTTCCCGGGAGCGACGGAAATCGTATCGTTTCTGGATTGAATTTCTTTTCCCCAAGATCGATTGAGGACTAGTAAGGATTAGTATCAATCTTTGATGGTTACCCCACTACAATCACAAACACACCACGGCTTTCGCTGTCGCAGCCACTCAGTGTCCTGGGCTCGGTTTTGGTTTTAATCTTCAGCAGCGAACTACTTCTGATTGCCGCCAAGGTCTGATGTTGATGCCGCTGAGCTCGTTCCTGTTGAAACCATACGACCCGTGAAAGTAGATGATCTACTGATAAAAAAAATGGGTTTCCGGAGCTATGATATAGATGGATATCTGATATAGAGTACAAGAAGGTAGGACAGATAATACATGATGTTGGTGTTGTCTTGATATATTCCTGCATGGTGGCACAAAAATGTTGATCCTAAGGGATCTTTCTTTCAATGCCAGAAATGTTGAACCCCTGCCTTTAGTCCTGAGCGCAGAAAAATCCAGAATATCATGAAATATCCTGTGCAATACAATGATGAATTGCCTATAAATGCCAAACATCCTGAAGCATTCGAGAACTATTCTATCGCTGAACTCGAAAAAATCAAGACTTGGTTTGAGGCATATTCACTAGCATCCAGGCTACAAGTCACCGAATATCGAATCAAAAGTACTTAAGGTCTTCCCCGCAGCAGCATATGGAGGTCATGTTATACTTCAGCAATACGCAGTGGGCAATGGACCCTTGTCGATGTCTACATGGGTCTGTAACGTAGTAATTAACCAATGGTGATCCCTACCCAATGGTGACACAGGTTGTTCCCAATCCACCCTTGAGGCATGTATGGTGGTTTCATAAGTAGTTTTTCCTAACTAGTAAAAACACTAACTATGTTCCTCTGTACATTTTACTATTGCTGCCTGGTACACCCGACGTTTCGCAATATTTCAGGACCTGTTTCCGCGAGGTCGGCGCTGCAGTGATCGGCTCGGGCGCCTTGCTATACTTCCGTTTCATCCTGGACGTGGAAAGGTGCTGCAATAAAGACTGTGTCACGGTTCGAGGATACTGAGGATACTTAAAGAGTAATTATGGTTTACGTTGGTTGATGATGGTTGTTGATGGTTGATGGTGGTTGCTGATGATTCATGGTGGTGGATGATGGTTGATGGTGGTTTACGTTGGTTGCTGATGGTTGATGGTGGTCGTTGGTAATTGATGGTGGTGAATGGTGGTTGATGAGGGTTGATGGTGATTGATGGTGGTAGATGGTGGTTGATGGTGGTTGATGGTGGTTGATGATGGTTGACGTTGGTTGATGATGGTTGCTGATGGTTGATGGTGGTAGATGGTGATTGATGGTAGTGGATGGTAGTTGATGATGGTTGATGAATTGTTGATGTTGGTTGATGGTGTTTTATGATCGTTGATGATGGTTGATGATGGTTGATGGATTTTTGAAGTTGGTTGATGATGGTTGATTATGGTTGCTGATGGTTGATGGTGGTTGATGGTGGTCGATGGTGATTGATGGTGGTGGATGGTGGTCGATGATGGTTGATGAATTGTTGATGTTGATGATGTTTGCTGGTGGTTGATTGTGGTTGATGGTGATTGATGGTGGTGGATGGTGGTTGATGCTGGTTGATGCTGGTTAATGAACTGTTGATGTTGGTTGATGATGGTTGATGATGGTTGCTAATGGTTGATAATATTGGTTGCTGATGGTTGATGGTGGTCGATGGTGTTTGATGGTGGTGGAAGGTGGTTGATGATGGTTGATGAATTGTTGATGTTGGTTGATGATGTTTTATGATTGTTGCTGATGGTTGATGATGGTTGATTGTTTTCAATGGTGATTGATGGTGGTCGATTGTGATTGATGGTGGTGGATGGTGGTTGATGATGGTTTATGAGCTGTTGATGTTGGTTGATAAATGGTTAATGATGGTTGATGATGATTGTGATGGTGATGATGATGATGATGATGATGGTAGTTGATGATAGTCAATGAAAGACAATGATAGTCGATGATAGTCGATGGTAGTCGATGATAGTCGATGATAGTCGATGATAGTTGATGATAGTCGATGGTAGTCGATGATAGTCGATGATAGTCGATGATAGTCGATGATAGTCCATGATAGTCCATGATAGTCGATGATAGTGGATGATAGTGGATGATAGTCTATGATGGACGTGGTTCCAATGTCATTCAACCTTGAGGATTTGTGTTGGGAATATTTCTTTCAGGCTAGTGAGAGTTGAGAGGCAGCACTAGACAGAGGCACGTGCGGTCCTTGGCAAACTTATATCCTTTGTTGGTGGGTTGTTTCTGAAACTCGGATGCAATGAAGAAGCCAGAAGGGTCAAGGGGACATCGGGACCAGCTGAATCTGACTCTCCAAAAGCTCGGATATCTTAGCACCTCCAGCCCAAATCCCGCGACTGTGGCACCACTTGGATGTGCATTTGAATTCTCATCCGTGGCTAATAAGCTTTTGAAACACTCAAGTGATATCCCAGTGATGTACCCCAGCTATAGTAGATTCTGATCAGCACTTAATCTCATCCTACTAGTAAGAGTCAGTACCCCCAGGAAAGCCCATGGTCTAGTTGGTCCTATATTCATGTTGGGGCCCTTTGCAAGGGGGTTATCTAATACCCCAGTGCCCGCACCGGCCTGCCACCCTTATCATAGATCTGGTTCAATCTCTTCGATTTCGCCCCCTTACCTTGGAAAGCCAGGTCCTCTGGCTTCACATATAAAAGGTAAAACCAAACATGTTACAGGAAGGGTGCCCAAAAATAGGTAAGCGGGTCCGGGTGTAATCGCAACTATCGACTAACGATTGGATACGTGTTGGATATATAACTATACTTAGTTAGTTGAAGTTTAAAACCAACTTACACCTATTGTACTTTCCTGCACAACGTTTTAGCATGGTCTACAGTGTTTTTTTACCACATGCTGATCCGAATTCGTGGTACCTTTACCATTCTTTGTGCATAAACTAGACATCTACCCTCCGGTACAGTAACACACCAGACAATAGAAAATCCTCATGTCTATCCGAATATATCCCGAGTCTATCCATTTAATCATTGATGTGTTACTCTTAAACTTTGTGGTTCCAATTTGCCACGTCGGATTGCCAACGGGTATCCTCGGAATCAACATCTATGAGAAACAATTTGCAAGGCCAGCTTCATATCCCGTGAGGCTCCGGTAGTGAAGCATGGCTAGCAAATTTTCTACAAGTAGGGTTTCTTTCTGAGCATACAGTCATTTTGTTGTGGGGAATTGTCTGTTTCCAGCTTCAAGAGCCAGAGGCTAAGCTTCAGTTCGGAGCACCAGCAGAGATAGGATTTGTCAAATGCTGCAAAAAAAACTCTTGGGTATAGACCCACTACACCCATCCAAGAAATGAGTAATGTCTAGAGTCTATATAATGTTTCCTCCTAAGGCAGTACTGATGACATGCATATGTGCATTAAGTATGTATCTGTATAGATAAATAGCTATATGCATACATATGCACCCATAACTATATACATACATATGCACCCTTAAACTCACTAAAACCCCCTACAGTAAACCCATTGAAACAAATCAACATCATATCAACATCCCATAATATAGATCCTATATATATATACAGTTACAGTAACTTCCAATGAATTTCTTGACCTTCACCCCTTGTTCTCGCTTAGCAACCGCGTGTAAGCCATTGTATACCCAGCTGTAAGGGATTATAAATAAAGCAGTCCCTAACCAGTTATGTACCACCATGGCCAGTAAGTCAATCAGCTACATTCCTCAACCTTCGTATCCATACGCTCCCTCACAATCATAATGGTTGTATCACCCATATCAACCCCTTAAACCACTAAATTAGCCAAGTCCCTCAACCCCTTATGAAACCCAATCAAAATTCTGTTGGCTGAAGAAAAAACCAACCCACTCACATCCCTCTCGTTCTGAGCTCCCCACTGGCGCAAGTCTTTTTGCGCCGCCGCATGTCCTGCCGCACAAAGTTGGCACCGTAGGGCGTTGCCATCGTCGGCACCTGTTGACGCATGGCTTCTGTGGGCTTGAACCAAGAAAACAATAGGATTTATATACTCTCTGGTAAACTAACATAGATATGGAATTTAATGGTTGTTATTGAATGGGATATAATGATGGGATATAATGGGATATATATAACCATAAAAACTAACATAGCTGGAAGAGCACTATGTTTATTTTTTATAGGTAAATCAACAAGCTAAATGGACATGTTCAATGGCTATTGTAAAGTTACTGGAGGGTAGTGGGGCATTATGATATAAGTAAAAACTGTTCACTAGTGGACGTACTTACATACGCTGGTTGGCGCTGGATAGCTTAAGAAGTTAAGCTAACATTCGCATTCTTAGCAAAGGATGGAAGTATACTTATCATGGTACTCTCCAGCAATCAACCATAGCAACTAGAAATATCCTGGTTCTGGTAAACTTATTTTTGTTTTTTAATTTTGTGTTTTAGTTCCATTCGGTTTTCATGTTTTTGTTTTTTTCTGTTGTTTTAATGTTCATTTTTTGGCTATCATTTTGGAACGTGATTGTTTTGAATTTGGTATTTTGCAAAATGAACTTTCCACATTTGACATCATTTGACCAGATTGTCAGAACTGAAATAGAATACGAAAACAGATGGGACAACTATGAACTTAGAATTTTGCCCAGATTTGTGAAATTGGGAACAGTGATTCTTCTCCAGGAGTGCAATGCAAAAATTGAACTTTCATATCAGACCAGATTTCCAGAATGGGGAAAAAAATCATTTCGGACAAGATTTGCGGAATAAACACAATAAAAAAAACGAAACCAATGAATCAAATGAACTTTTCCATTTTTTCCATGTTTTTTCGTTCTGAAAGTTCATTCCGTGCTCAGGCCGGAACGGAAGGTTCTTTTTTTTCACGCATGTCGCAGCGTTTCGGGAAATTTGGTCAAACATGATCAATTTTTGTTCGTTCTCAAATTTATGTTTTCTGATCATGTCAAAAATGAACATACATTATGTTCAAGTTTGATTCCTGCACTCAGTCCCACCTTCACAGCCTTAAAACCTTCAAAGGCCGAATATGTTCAAGATCTTTTCAATTGGGGATCACAAAAACCCACCAAAACCAAAAGCATGCAAAAATGAAAACGAATTGAACATGAAGGTCGGGAAAAAAAACACAGATTCACAACAAACTTTCCGAACGGAAAAACATGAACAAATTGTTTTAACATGTTTTAACATGAATCAAAACGAGGCTGGCTAGGAACTTGTAACATGAGTTTCTTTTTCCAGCGAACCAAATCTCCATGTTTGATGGATATTTCCCAGCTATAGGTGTCACCTCTGCAGTGGTGGACGAGTTCTTCGGAGCGGCTCCGCGACGTTTGGGGGCCATGGCGATTCAGCGTCGATTCAGCGATATGACTATGGCCTGCCAAGCGCGATTGCTTGTGGCAAAGGTCATGTTGGAATTTCAATTAAAGAATAACTTGTGTAGCTTGTTAACTCAAGTGGTTCCGTGAGATTCTCTTGGAACGAGTTTAATTTGGCTGGAAAACAAGGAGAAAACGACTGGAAATGATATGTTACCATTCAGAACTATTTTTAGAAACAAATATCCCAGTGAACCCAGCCCTGGTAATCATTGCTATTGACTCATGTCAGAGTTAGCTCGACTCATGTCCCTCTCCATCATGGCTGACCGTTTTAATCTTGAGCCCATGGTGATGCTCGGAGGATGGGCAGGTCAACGATAGTATAAACAATTGATGGGCACATGTTCCCAAAAACGAAGATTATTATCTGGCCATCCCAAAAATAGTGGTCATTTCAACCAATCATTTCAAGTATGGTTGAACAACATTGAATACATACTTTGAAAACCCCGACCAGTTTTTGCGTGATAGCATGTGACATGCACATTTGCACGGGTTGAACCACTATGCATTGGAAGATGAGATGCCTATTCTTAGTTTCCTCATGTCCAATTAATTGCCTTCTGGTGTCCCCAACATAGACGACCGTGAAAATGACCAATTTATGGTGGAACCTGTTCTTCCAACCTGTTAATTTAGCACAGGATAATCTCAATTCTTGGTGGTCAAATCAACGAATTTGTATGCAAGATGGTGCCCTAAACATGTACACATTACAATGTTAGATTTCACATTCCCGCTCCAGCTCAAAGGTACGTGTCTCCCTCAAAAAAATTGCTTTTCCCTAGATCTAGTATATTACATGGTTGGGATTGCATAGGTGTATATATATATGATGAAGCTCAAAGCTACCTTGCTGGCTCACTGCCTCCTTGCTAGCTCAAAGCTCAAAGCTACCTTGCTGGCTCAGTGCCACGTAGCTGGCTCAGTGCCACGTAGCTGGCTCAATGCCACGTAGCTGGCTCAGCGCCTCGTAGCTGGCTCAGCGCCACGTAGCTGGCTCAATTTTTTTAGCGAAAAAAAAAAAAAAACTCGCAGAAATTGAGCCGGCTACATGCCCTTGAGCCGGCTCGCCAATGCGTCATGAACCCGGCCAATACATAGCTAGTATTCGTTTTGATGCTCTCACATTCGTCCGCCAGCTCAACGTGACGTAGCTGGCTCAATTTCTGCGAGGTTTTTTTTTTTTCGCTAAAAAAATTGAGCCAGCTCGATGCCATTGAGCTAGCTCGATGCCCCTGAGCCAGCTACGTGGCATTGAGCGAGCTCGATGGTGCTGAGCCAGCTCGTTGCAGTTGAGCGAGCTCGCAGAAACTTCCCAATCTGTTAAATTGCATTAAATTGCCAGGTTCAATCCCCACTGATTACTTTAGTACTAGATATGGTACCTCTGAAAAAGCCCAAGGTGACTGTCAAAACATACCCCTGATGAAATTGAGCCAGCTACATGTTTTGAGCTAGATCGAAAAAATGGAAGATTGGGAATTCCAACATTAGACACATTATTATTTTCATGTGTGTATCTCAAATATGGGACACAGTGGCGCGGAACATGCAATCAATTTTTGAATCACATTACATCACACTACATCACATAACATTACATTACATTGCGTTACTTTAAAAATTGTATGTATATATATATACAATAACTATATTATGCATATAATTATATATATAATGATACCATGTCTACTTGAATTTCCTCCCAGTTGCAGCGCCCAAACTTTGCCACGGCTCTCGATGTGTGTGACTTCAATCGAGAGGATGGCCACACGTTTCTTCAGCCTTGCAGCTATGCCGCACGTCACAAGGTTGGCCTTAAACAAAACACTGTGGATGGTATAATATATATATATATCATTTTAAATATATATATATATATATATATTTAACAATATATATATTCATTGGTTATGTATCTATATATATCATTATCGAAGGAAGTTTAGAAGTCAAACTTCCGACAATATAGACAGATGAAAAGCAGAGCAGGGAAGAGGCAGAGAGAAGAGAAAGATTAGAAGAAAGAAGAGTAGAAGAGAAAGAGTAAGAAGAAAGAAGATGCAGATGCGCGAAAAGGTAGGGAAGTCGCGAAACACTGTGTTTTTCCGAAGATTTGTGGCTCCGGAGGGTCGAAAAGTAGGCTCGCTAAAGCGGCGGGTGCACGCCGTTGTGGCGCGAAGCATATTTGCAAGTCAAAATGCGCAAAACACCTCAGCTCCGGACCACTTTTGGAAGTTGCGATGTCGAAAAAGTGCACGCCGGTGTGGCGCGAAGAACATTTCCAAGTCAAACAGTACAAAGCACCTCAGCTTCGGATCACTTTTGGAAGTTGCGATGTGGAAAAAGTGCACGCCGTTGTGGCGCGAAGCACATTTCCAAGTCAAAATGTACAAAACACACCTTTGTCGGACCACTTTTGGAAGTTGCGATGTCGAAAAAGTGCACGCCGTTGTGGCGCGAAGATGCGCGAAGCACATTTCCAAGTCAAAATGTACAAAGCACCACATGTTCGCGCCACTTTTGGAGGTTCGGATGTTGAAAAAGTGCACGTCGTTGTGGCGCGAAGCACATTTCGAAGTCAATACAAAACACCACATGTTCGCGCCACTTTTGGAGGTTCGGATGTTGAAAAAGTGCGCGCCGTTGTGGCGCGAAGCACATTTCGAAGTCAAAATGTTAAAAACACTAGAGGTTCGGACCACTTTTGGAGGTTCAGATGTCGCTTCGCTTCGCTTCACTAGATCACACTACATTACACTACACTACACTCCACTACACTACACTACACTACATTACACTACAACTACAACTACACAACTACACTCCACTACACTTCACTACACTAAATTACACTACACTACACTACACTACATTACACTACACTACACTCCACTACGCTACACTACATTACACTACACTACATTACACTACACTACACTACACTACCTTCCACTACACTTCACTACACTCCACTACACTACACTCCACTACACTACAACTACACAACTACACAACTACACTCCACTACACTACAACTACAACTACAACTACACAACTACCCTCCACTACACCCCACTACACTAAATTACACTACACTAAATTACACTACACTACACTACACTACATTCCACTACACTCCACTACACCACACTACAATTACACTACACTACATTACACTCAATCACACTGCACCACAGATAGACAGGTAGACAGATAGATAGATAGACAGGTAGACAGCTAGACAGATGAAGGAGAGAGAGAGAGAGAGAGATCGATCGATAGCTAGATAGGTAGATAGATAGATAGATAGGTAGGTAGGTAGGTAGATAGTCAGAGAAAGAGAGAATAGTGAGAGCGATCAATCACCTTTCGATGCATGAGTGGCTTCGCTCTGCCATCCCTGATTCACAACAACCAACCTCTCCTATAGGTTTCCTATTTTTGAAACTTCCACCACCGCCTTGTGCGGTACTACTGGTATATATATATATAGATATTGCTAAAATCTACAACATATCCCACCATCTCGGCTTTACCTATTAACATATTGGTCCCATTACTGATATATCACCTAGCATGGGTGATTGCAAAATCCCAGGAGCAGTTGGTGCAGGATGTGTTCTATCTATCAATGGGGAAACCAGATCTACCGCTGCGGCAAAGCACCGAACCGATGTTCCGATGGGGATAGGCATCTCCACACAGTGATAGGGATTAAATATCACTGTCACCATCACTCCTGGTATCTCCAAAAGAGGTGGCTAATGGTGGTTTGATGGTGGTGAATTTGCTTTTCCTGATGCTAAACAATGTTTACGCATTTTGGGGGTTAAAACCCATGCTTTTCTTGGATATGCTAGAACATCGCCAGGGGTTTCCATCAACATCATGATATGTCATGAGTACCCAAAACGCATAGTCAAACAGTCAAGCCGCTACTAGTAGCACTAAGTTATGGGCATAGCAACTACAATGGTGTTCCAATGACCAACTCAAAAAAACATATATACTTTATTTCGAGTGATCCCCACCCTTACACTTATTTGTCAGAGTTTCTGACAAATCATCTGGAAATATATTTGGTATAATATTCTGACATTCTATTCTGGCATTCTATCTGGCATTCTATCTTGCAGTCTATTCTGGCATTCTATCTGGCATCTATTCTGGCATCCTATCTGGCATATCTGGCATCGCTTGTGGCATCTATATTGCCATTTTCTCTGGAATTCTATGCGGCATTTTTTTCTGCCATATGTTCTGGCATGCGTTCTGGCATGCTATCTGGCGTTCTCTCTGACACTCTTTTGTGGCATATCTATCTGGCTTATCTTCTGACATTCTTTCTGGCATTCTATCTGGTATATCTTCGGAGATTCTTTGTGGTTGAGGTCTGGCGGGGAACACTCCGATCCGGAGCTTGCGGTGGAGGTCCGGCGGGGATCACTGTTGCTGTTCGGGTCCGGCAGGATGACTTTGATCCAGAGGTTGCTGCTCGGGTTCGCCGGGGAACACTGCGATCTAGAACGTGCAGTTGAGGTCCGGCGGAGGAGAAGGAATGAGAAGGAGGAGGCGGGACAGCTGGCATAAAATCTAACGGCCCTCACCTGACAGGTGGGGAACAACAAAATCAGCATTTCACTATGCCAAACTTGGGGCTGGTTGTCTTGAGTTTTGAGACATATTCATGTGACTGGGCTAGCTACGGGTAGCAGGCATCCATTATAGCTCACGGTGACTAGTAACCATGGCCATTCTTGCATGCTGATTGTAGGACTTGCTGGTTGCAATGATGAAGCTAATCATTTATCATTATCAATTGAAGAAATTTAGGCCATGAATTGTAGCAATAAGGAAACACATGCATATTATCAATTAACAGTTGTAATTTAGCTGTTTAGCTATTTCCTTGCTGGGATGAACATCAAAGTTGGCATATGGTTAGCACAGGATTTGATCTAAATATTGAGAAGTAGTACAAGGTGGGCCCTC